TCACAAACCCCTGGCTCAACTCTCGGCAACTCCTGCACGAGCTTCTTCAGCTCTCCGATCTCGTGAAGCTGTTTCACCTCCTCCGCTCCTCCCACGTACCGTCCGCCGATAAAGACTCTCGGCAGCTTCGGAAGCTCCTTCTCCTCGGAGGAGAAGAAGATCCGCTCCAGCTCCGCTGCGAAGGAAGCGTCCATGGAGAGATCTCGCTCGTCGATTCGCACGGGGAAGCTGCGGAGGATCGTGGTGACGGCTCGGCAGGCTTCGAACGTGGGGCGAACGACGCGGAGGCTGGTGAAGTAGACGACGATGCTGGTCTCCGCGCCGGGGATTGAGATACGTATAGCATCGGGTTCGGGTTTGGATTGCTTCGGATCCGGGGGTGGATTTAGCTGGAGAGGTTCGGAATCTGCGCGGGGGAGGTTGTTAGAGGCGCGAGTCGGCCAGGAGCGGAGGATTAGGTTCGCGGCGCAGACTCGGTGGAAGACTCTGGAGACGTGGTTGGGAGAGGGGGAGGGAGAGGCGCAGGGAGAAGAAGGGAAGGAAGAGGAGTCGTCGGTGCAGAGGTGGTGGATGTCTTTGAAGGAAGCGGTGGGAGAGAATGTGTTGTGAATCTTAACAGACGATTTACGCCACGGCCGCCACATTGACGGTTAGAAACGGTGGAGAGAATTAGGGTTCGTGTGGATTGAGATTTGCAGAGAGAGAGAGGGGGGGGGGATGGTTGGTTAAAACAAAAGTTGTTGGAGGATTGGTATTGTTAAACCTCTTCTCTCTCTCTTTCTCTTTCTCTTTGGTTCTTTTATTATTGTTAAAACATTGGTTGTGATGAAACAGGTCATTTAACGTTACTAATTATAATTGGGTGGCTAATTATAGTTGCTTATTCTGTTTTTAATGCCCTTCTTCATTTACAAAAATACATGTAGTTTGATCACACATATATTAAAAGAAGATCAGGAATTTATAGCACATGGCCTGATAGTGGTTCTGCAATTTAGCAGTAATTGAGATGAAGCTTAAAATAAATCTTCTGAATTAAATTGCAGGTGTAAGCATAAATTGTTATTATTACTAGGAAATTTAAGTGCAGCTTTTTGTTGTAAGGAAATTGCAATTCAAGTTAGCTACAAAACTATATACTACTTCTCATCTTGTTGACTATATGTGAAGCTAGATAAATACTTTTTACACTTTCTAAGTTGTAAATATGTATGTTTATGCAATGATTTTTTTTTTTGTCTCAACGCACTTTGGATAAATCTTTTCTGGACTACAGAAATTGGATAAACATTATGAACTTTAATAATAGTATCGAATCGAATAATAAAGGCTATTGGTGACAACAAGTAATGAAAGGGTGTCGTTCAATCTTCCTCTTAGTTCCTTCCCGAGAGCAAAAAAATGAAACACATGTGAAATCAATTATAGAAACTGTTCTGTTAGGCTTCGAATGGTAAAAGCAGATCAAGCGGTGCAGATCAAGCGGTTCATGCAGATCAAGCAGGACAAATGCAGATCAAGCGGGACAAGTGCAGATCAAGCGGATCATGCAGGAGAAATGCAGATCAAACAGTTTATTATATATTATGAATGAAAAAATCAGTTCAAAATTATAAATCATATATTTAAACAATAAAAAATTATACCAAAATATCAAAATAAATATCTTATATGTTGTAAGATCAGCCGAATGTTAATTAAATTTTTCGTAAGATGCTTGATCAAAATTATCTTTGAAGAACTAGCATATTGCTAATATTAAACTATTTATTGATATTTATATATAAAGATTTTATCTTTTTGCTGAAAATATTGTACAGCTTAATAAAATATTCATTTTATGTAAAAAAATTATATTTTTTTCTTGGGAAAACATTATGTTTTGTAGGCGATTGAATGTCATATTTATAATTTTAAAATGATACAAATAATATTGGTGTGAACTATATCGTTTGAGTTAATCTTTATACATTATTTCTTGTCTTTTAGTGAAAAAGGCAGATCAACACCTACAAATGTTAGCGGCTGAGATCTGCATGCAGATCTCCTGCTTTTTCCACAAAAAGACAGAAAATATTGAACTGCATGCAGATCTCCTGCTTGAACTGCTTTTAGAAACAGAAAATGATGAATGGCAAAAACAGAGCAGGAGAACTGTATAAGCAGGAGATCTGCATTTGTTCTGCCTTTCCATTCATAACCTTATTCTGTACTAAAACCATTTTTAGTTTTGTAAATACTATGCAGAAGTCAAAGAGGGAACCTGGCGATGGTTACAGAGATTTTGTGTTCACATATTATACACTACTCTATATTAAATACAGCTGTATTAACACTTACTTCCTCTGTTCCTAAACAATCTATGTTTTATAATTTTCACACTTATTAAAAAAACACTTAAATTTTTGATAATAAATGCATTATTTTATGTATTTAACTATTTCTAATGATTTTTAACTAATCAAAATTCAGTAAACATAATTAATATTTTTGAAGTTTACAATTTACCAATATTACATACATTGAAAATGTAAAATATGAATATTTTAAAAACAAATTGTTTTTCTAAAATATGGATCATTTAGGAACGGAAGGAGTATTATATAAAAGAGTTTTATGATTTTTCTATAAATAGTAACTATTTTTTTACGTCAATAATAACGATGTAACATAAAATGGACTGATATAAGATAAATACGGGTAGAGGGAGAGAAGTAAGAGTAAAGAGGAAATATTAATGAGGTAGGACCACAAAACAAAATGATTACTGTAACATTCAAAAACAGAGAAAGTTAACTCGTATGATCGTATGAATAATTAAATACACATGCTGACTTGTTTTTTCAGTCCTAAAACGTTCAAAAACCGTCTTTGACAACTTTTAATGACCACACAAATTCATAGCTTATGTATTTTGCTGGTCAATTTTGTTGTATATAAGATTACACAAACACACAAGAAAAAGATTTTAAAATGGATTCATCTGAAAAAAAAATGCGGAGTTGCCAAAAGGTAGTACATAACCAAAAAGTTAATCTATGATTAAAAATCAATGATTGTGGATTGAGGAGAGATACAACTAAAAGGCACGTGGAGTGGTGGATTCTGAAAAGTATCACGTGGCACCACCACTTTGACGAAAGCTAAAGATGAAATGTCTCCTTCTCCTCCCAATTATCTTCTTTCACGCAGTATATTAGTTTTACACGTGTGCGTGTTCGTTCAGAAAAGAAAAAGCTTGTACGAGTGTGCGTAAGCCTATGGTTTCGCTTTGTAACGGGCCTCTTAAACAACCCAAATCTATTCAAGAATAAACTTGTGGGAACTGTGGTCTGCATTTTGTTTTCTTCACTCTCCGCAATATCTTGGACTTTTGGGCTTGGCCTTTTGATTGTCAATCAATTTGTGTGTTTGTTTGTTAAAGAAGTCCAACATTTGTTACCTAAAATGCACATTTCACGAATCCATATGCAATTTAGAAGTCATGTTTTACTGACAGAGAAACGAGAACTCTGGTTGTTCTCTCTCTTCCACGATGTCATTGCAAGTAGTGAAAGATAATCGAGTTAGCCGCAAACACAAGTATGAAACCAAACTTACACGAACCCCTTTCCGTCCGTGTCTCTTTTCCAACCCATTCATATCATATCACCATTATGATGATTGACGGATACAATACTAATTACTTACGACTTTTTAGTGTTACAGTCTGAATATACAATACGACCTTACCAAATACAAAAAAAAACAAACAAACTTAGCGTGACATGGCGCGGAGCAACGTGCTATGGATATCGGAGAAGTTGGGGCGTTTGGAAGGAGTGTTGTTCCAGCAATTGATCATCAGAGTTCTGAGAGCTTGAGGGCACTCCTTTGGGATCTCCGGTCTTAGCCCACAAGCCGCTATTCCAACAGCCGCCTGCACAGGCGAGCAAGACGCGTAAGCGGCTTCTCCTGTCACCATCTCCCACAGTACCATCCCAAAACTATAAGCATTGCTCATCCAAGTCTCTGTTGTGTTCTCCGGGTCACCAGCTATTATCTGATTCCAACCATATGCCAATAAGCAAATCGAAGTATAACATTTACAAGTTTCATTAGATGAAATCAAGTAACTGTGTCTCAATATTCCAGTATTAAGCTAAATGATTTGTTATGTAAAACCAAGAACCAGTGTGCTCTAGTAGAAATGAAACGATTATTTGGTTCAAATCAGTTGAAATAACTCAAATAACTCAAAAAGGTTAGGAGGTATAAAGTCTAAGGCGTTTTTGCGAAGACTAGACAGGACTTAGTAATATTTTTACACTTGTCTACGATATATGAATTCAAATGTGAACATCCAATAACCACCCAGACAAACAGAAAAAGGCAAAGCAGATATGGCCAAAGGCAAATAAACTTGTTTTGTTCAAAAGGAACAAAAACAAAACAAGATGCAGTGGGTCATATCCCGACAACAGCGATGATGCATGTATGGTCTGCGACTTGTTTCTATGAGAATTATGATGATGAAGTAAGTAAAGAACATGTAAGCAAACTTTCAGGTGCCTCGTTTTCTGTATCATTTGGTTCAAAGGTTATAGAAAAAAAAAGATATGGAAATGGCAATTATGATGATATTCACAATCTTATCCTCAAGTAAGCTATTAAAGAAAGACACGAGTAAAAGAACACATACCTCAGGTGCAAGCCATCGATAACCATCAGTTTCATACTCCACAGGCTCACCAAAGCTTTTACAAGCGGTAACTATTCCAATATCCCCCAAACACGCGTTGCCATGTTTATCTAGTAGTATTCTCTGTGCGTTAAGGTCCCTATACGCAACACCATGAGCATTCACAAACTTCAACCCTTCAGCAATATCAATAGCAATTCGCAGTATCTGCTTAGTTTGAAGCTTCTTGTTCTTCAACATCAGTTCATGGAGTGACCCGCCTTCCATCAGCTTTGTCACAACGCATAATCCGTGGCTCTCGTCTATGCAAACGCCATAGAACTGCAGAATACTCTTGTGTCCACAAGTCATCAGCTCCAAGAAATCTTTCCGGATCTCAAACTCGTATGAATTCCCCTTATCACAACCTTTTAGTTTCTCGATTGTAACCCTTTTCCCTCGGAAGATTCCTTTGAAAGAACTTGGTCCAATCTGTTCACCAAACTCAAAGTTATCAGAACTCAATAGCCATTTTCCAATCTCACTCCCACCTGATTGTATGGTCTGCCATTCATCTACTGATACAGCAAATGAAGAACTCGGAAGTGGAACTTGAAGCTGGATCACATTCTCTATCCCTAGCCTATTACCATGCTGAATGGACTCTTCTTCAACACCACCAACTTCCCCTACACCACCGTTCTGTTCCTGACAGCCACAAAGCCCAAAAGGTAGCTTAACAGAACTCGAAGTCGGTCTCGCCTTTCTAGTAGCACACTTGAGTGCGTTCTCTACCCTCGTTTTAAACAAACTCTCTTGTCCAGACTGATCCATAAGAAGAACAACACCCAAACTCAACCCTTTCTTCTCAAATATCTGTATCTTCTTACAACTAATCGAAGCACCATCAAGAGCCCCCGACATGGTTGACCACGAAAGAGAAGAGTTACAAGCAAACGTGAGCTTGAGAACAGAACCTCGAGCTCCCTCAGCAGAAGACACTTCTTGAATCATAAACACGGGATTATCATCTCCAGAAGCTTGCTCTATCAACTTCACGTGTAGAAAAACTTCCTTCATATCGAAACCAGCTTGACCATAACTGTTGAAAACAACACCAAGCAACAAGAATCAATACTCCCTACAATAGATTACTCCATGATTTTTCCGGGAATATATATGTACAATTAATATATGTTTTAGTTTAGATGGAATCATTGTTCTAAAAATCGGCCTAGGCGCGCATAAAATCTAAAATCTGGCCTAGACTTTAAAAAAATCGGCCTAGGCGCCCGCCTAAACAATAATACTCTATAAAACGTCTAACCACCGGCTAACTATTTTAAGAACATTGATTTTCCCTAAAATAGAAACTCAACAACTACTAAATCTAGTGAATATGGTCACTCATGTATTTTACAACATAAACATGAACAAGTTGTCAGCCATTGTTGTCTTCTAGGCGCGCATAAAATCTAAAATCGGTCTAGACGTTCAAAAAATCGGTCTAGGCGCCCGCCTGAAGAATAATACTCTATAAAACACCTAACCACCGCCTAGCTATTTTAAGAACACTGATTTTCCCTAAAATAGAAACTCAGCAACTACTAAATCTGAAATGACCTGAAAGGCAAGGAATCATAATGCTTCTTGAGATTCGAAACAAGCTTCTCTGGTAACTGACTACCAGGATACATCTTAGCAAGATTCCTCACTACTGTAGCCCACAGTAACTTCCGCCCACCGCCTACATCCGCTCTCGGCGACGGACCTCCTCCTCCTCCTCCTCCGCCGTTGCCGACACTCTGGTTGTTATTGTCACGAGCTGAATCGAGATTGAGCGAGTTCTTAAGCGACGCAATCGCGCCGGAGACGTTACGGCTGAGACGCTGAAACCGTTTCTGCATAGCAGACGAGCTCTGATCGAAAACCTGCGTGGATCCTTCGACATCGAGAGACGTCGTCTCGGGAGGAGACGTGATGAGTGACTCTGACCTGTCGTGAGTGCGCATGAGGACTTGATCGACTAGATCGTCGTCGAGAGCGTCTCCTCCGGCGCGGCTTGACCAGCATTCCAGAGCTGCAGCCATTTGTAAAAGAGGTGTTCGTTTTAGGCAATGACTGTTGAGCTTGTGAGAGATGCAGTGTGTGTGTGTGTGTGCTTCAGATTTCAGATTTCATCTTTTTCGTTTTTAGCAGTTAGTGAGGAGGAGAGTACGACTGCATTTATGTAAGTGACAGTACGATTTTTGAGATGGTTTGCTTTCTCGATTTACTACTACGCTCCTACTGTATTATTTATTGTTTTTTTATTTTTGTAAATTATGAAATGTTGGACGAAACAAATGGTTTTGTTTAATTTACTTAAGATAATTAGATCTTAGTTGTGGATTGTGGTCCCTGCAAAACATAATTGTGTTTATCTCTAAATGATCATCAGTCCATATAAATACAAATGTTCTACAATTATTAAAGTTATTCAGAAAGAATTCCAAATTATTAAGATTTAGGAATTTAGTTAGTAGTACGAAAAGAAAGATTCGTATTCACACTTGGAAAAAGTTTTGAAACTGAGGATGATATTTTATTTCGTTGCTTGTCGTTTACATACGAGCGCAAATGAAAAAGTTATTAGAACCGGATTATAGTGATTCTAAACATTTTTTGGGGTCAAACAACTTTATAAGTGATTAATTAGTAGATTCAATAATGAAAATAATAGATATATATATTGTAAATTTGCAAAATATATACATATTTTGGTAAAATATGAAATTATTAACTTAACATAATAAATTAATAATTTATTTTATTTTAGATGAAATTATAAATTAATAGTATGTGAAATTAATATTTGTTTTAGTTTAGACTTTCATCTAAAACTCAGACTAGTCAACCCCCTGAGCTTTAAAATTAGAGTGATTTTATTAATGATCAAAAACAAAACGGATTGTAATGGGTCGATGTTAGGCCCATTATTATTGGCCTTTTTTATGACCATAAAAGAAACGTAATAAATAGACTGCACTCCATCTTTAATCAATTAAAACGGCACGCGTTGTTCTCACCATCTGTAGCTTTCCCGGAGCGGATCTCTTCGTCTCTGTGATCGGAGTATCTGCAAGAGTACACGCTACTCAATTCACATATGGCATCGACGAGCAAACCGAATCCTCTAGAAGAAGACGATGACGCGGAAGAAGAGGTACCTCCTCAACTCTTTCTCTTCATATGCTCTTCTCTGTTTGTTTTTGTATTTATGGTAATAAATTAAATTATCTTTTCAGGTGCAACATTTCGATGACTTTACTCTTGCGTCTTCCTGGGAAAGGTATTCCACCTTAACGGTTTTGAATGTGTTGGATTCAATAGACTGCATTGTTCTCTGGAGTTTGGATTATGTCACCACTCACCATTGATTCTGATTCAGTTGATTTTTAGGTTTATTTCAGATATTGAAGCAACCTGTCGTCAATGGTTAGCTGATGGTCCCAGAAACCTCGTGGTACGTTTGATAATCCATATTATTTCACCTTATTAAACTCACGTGATTTCGCACACGTGACCTTATAGCTAGTTTTACTATGTGTAATGATGGAACTAGCTAGACGTGTATTTTGTGGATTATACTTCAGTTTCGTCATCATTTGAGTGCAGGAAAAGGGAGCTGTTGCAGTGGAAGATTTGAAGAATCTTTTTAAGGTTAAAAACGACTTGAGAAGTGTGACAAGGAGCTACTGCATGGAGTTCTACTTCGAAATTGACGATAATGGTAGCCAGCAAGGTATATGATTTCAGGGTAACATGCGCTTTGTTTTGGAGAAAGTGCGTTTTTCTGTTTCGTGATTCGGTATTTGACTGATGCAGTGGGATTTGGTGATTGGAACAGTGGTTCACATGATCTCCAGCTTTGCTTTGGTGTGAAGGATTTTCTGGTACCCTACGATTTTTATTTGAAATAGTTCAAACTCTTCTACATATTCGATATTTGATTAATTATTCGCATTTTTTTAGTTGATTGCTCCACAAAGTGCCAGTGGGGTGCTTCTTGATGCACCAGAGTCTAGCAAGCTTCTGAGTGCGGTTGCTATTGCTTTGTCTAACTGTGCCAGGTACCACTCTGGCTTTAGCTACTCTTGCAATATACTGTTTCTTTGAGTTGATACCAGATTGCCCTACCAGTTACTCCGAAATCTTGGAAATCAAAGTTGATAGTAATGTGTTACCGCTGAGGACCTTTGGTAACGAGATAACGGGTGCATATTTGGTTGAGTTTTTAATAATTTCATACGACTTTGGTGTGCAGTTTGTGGCCAGCCTTTGTCCCTGTGCATGACCCTTCACGGAAAGCTTATATTGGGATCCAGAACATGGGCACTGTTTTTACTAAAAGATTTGAAGCAGATTTTATTGGTAGTCAAGTCCCTGCGAAACTCATGCACCTACAAGGACTATACGAGTTGTTTGTTTCTAAGTTTGTAAGTCTTCCTGGCTCCTACTTAGTGATGTTCATTAGTACGGTTATTGGCTAACAAAGCGAACTTGAAAACGTACCAAGCATTAGCCATGACTGATAAAATACTGGTTTCCAACTTAGTTTCTCTTATTGTTCTTCTTTCTTCACATACGATAAGTAGATAGTTTATACACACTGTTTTGCTATGTGTTTATTAATCAACAATGTTTTATATTTTGAAGGTTTATTCTGGAGTGGACTTCTCAATTCACAATTTCAAAGTTCATTGTCTGATGAGGCTAAAATACCAAACCTTCACATCTGACGAGGAAGATGAGGAAAGTGATATGGATGAATTTATGGGTGACAAAGCTGACACTGCAGAACACAATGGCTCTGAGTCGCGTAACAAGGTGAACTGGGACGATGATTGTCCTTGGAGTGAGTGGTACTCTGCTGAAGATCCACTTAGAGGTACATCCGTATGAACAATGTTTTGTCTTTTTACACTACAGTGTACACAATACTTTCCAGTAGGATTTGTATTTTACCTCTCAGTCTTATAGATTAGTTAGGAATGTGTGTTTCCGTTAACATACATCACAGTTATTTAATTTACTAGCTGGTCTTTACACACCTCTGTTTTCCAACATTCATTGAATGATAACTGATGTGTGCTGACAGGCTTTTATTTTCTTCAAGAATAGGCTGGTCTTTGCAGTTGGTGTTCCAGGAACTCATTTTCTAACTGTGTCTGATATGGACAGGATTTGGATTGGAGGCCACATGGGCTGACAGGACTGTAGAAAACACACTTGAGATGGCTGAACTTGAAATTGCTTCACCCCATGAAGCTGAGAAGTGGATTTTACGCCCAATCCTCTCACCATATCTGTAAGAAATGCCTCTCAGAGTTCTCCTGTCCTTGACAAAATAGTAGTTCGCATGTCTTGTGGTGCATTATCTTTCCCTTTCACTTTTATAACAAATATATTTTGCCAGAGGTGAGCCTTCACATGGGAAAAGAATTGATTTTGCTTCCCAACTACTTTGCTTGGTTGAAGCATTGGATGCGTCCTTCATAGCTCAGTTTATGGACGATTTCGTGTCAGGTCTGTGCTTTTGTGTGTGTTTATGTCCTCATCTTTCAAACACATGTTGAAATTTCCTTTAGTGAGTTAGATAATATAATTAACTTCCCCTATATTCTTATATTCTTTTACAGCGCCACTGTCTAATGTTTTTTTAATCTCTCGCAGTGGAAAATCCAAGCTCTGAAAGTTTGAAGACCTCAGCGGTCATACCTCCTCCAACAGTTCTTGATCGGGTGATTAAAGATCTCTTTCATGAAGGTATTCTTCCTCTATATTCTGTTGTGGGCATTATGTATGTATACATACGACCTATGTTTATGGTAGAATAGATATAAGCGTGTTTTTGTGTTACAAATTTTGATTATCATTGCTGGGTTAAGGATCCGACTTACCGTATATTATTTTTTAGTTTGAACTGTTCAAAAGTTCTTTCTTCAATTTTAAATTTGCAATCAGTAGCATTTGAAAATTATAATCTAACTACTATATGATATTGCTTCACCGTTTTGCATCTAATTTCGCAGGATATAAACTCCCAGATTTTACTAAAGGCGAACACAGGCTTTCCCGAGCTCTTAAGGCTGCACCGCTCGAATCTCTGTTTACACAATTCTGTTTTCACTCAATGTGGTTCGGCAACTGCAATATCCGTGGTATGTGCCGGTATACCATGCCTAATTTGGTCAGCCATACATCCTTATAGTCAAAATGGATTAAATTGCTAGTGACATAAGGAAACGAATTTACTGACTAATAGACGTTTTCTATTTTTCTTTTGTCTTCTCCATCCCATCTCTAGCCATTGCCTTTCTCTGGGTAGAGTTTGTCCGTGAAGTTCGTTGGTGTTGGGAAGAGTCACAGCCGTTGCCAAAAATGCCAATCGACGGGTCTATTGATTTGTCCACTTGTTTGATCAACCAGAAGTTGCACCTGGTAAAATTTACTATACATGCTTTACAGGAAAAGTCAAGTTTCTTGTAGATACTAACATATTCTTTTTTTGCTGACCAGCTTGCAATTTGCATTGAGAAAAAGTGTGAAATGAACGAAGTGTTCCTAGACTGTATAGGAAGTGAAGACGGTTCAGAGGATTCTGATCCTATGGAGGTTTGGCCAAGTATTTGTGTATTTTTTTGAATTGTTATATGCTGTCAAATATGTGTTTAACTATAAAAAGCAACCGAAATACAAATAAAAGGTGTTGAAGTGCCGACAAACCCAATAGAAGATCCTAATGTTTGAGGGCGTCTGTGTTGTTTGCTTGATACATTTCTTTGAACTAAATCTTCAGGAACACCACAAGGCGGATAAGAGAATAACTACATCCTCGGAAGAAGATCTGCTGAGGAAACGTGACAGGTGAACTTAGCAAGTGAGATCTCTTAGGTTCTGGTTGTTGTTAAATAGATGAAACCTTGGTTGCATATTATTTCAGATATTATATTTCTTCGTTTCTACCGTTTCCAATTGAATATTCAAGCTCATAGAGAGATAATGTTGACCATGCTAAGTGTTTTTATTTTTTGGTCAAAGCTAAGTGTTTAATCCTTTTTTCTTGGATGCAGCTCAATTGCAGAAGATACATCAGATCGACTAAGACTCGAGAGGAATACTGAAAGCACAAATTCTGTGAACAAGAGTCCCACAGATGTCATCAGAAGGGGGTCAGCTGGACCAGTGGGGACCATGATGCTCCTGAAGTCACATCAGCGACTCCATGCCCCATTTACCCAGGTTTTTATTTTGACTTGACCTCGTCTTTTTCCTATATGGTCGTTGACAATCTCAAATTACATGGGTTATGACAGGATCCACCTCTTATGACGGAAGACATGCACGAAGAGAGACTACAGGCTGTTGAGGCGTTTGGTGATTCCCTGGTAGGCTCAACTTCTCTCCCACTAGAACTGAATAAATATGGTTTTGTTATCTATTAAGAACATTTCTCTAGGACATTTTTATAAGCGTAATGTTTCTTAACTAATATGTAGATGGCTTTTTAGTTCGTTTATTTGTCTGACTATTAAAGAATTCATTTTTCCCTTTGAATTTCAGAACGTTCCTGGCCAGTTGGAGAAAGACATCTTATTATCTGGTGAGATTCAAAATTCTGTCTCTGTTGTCTAGAGATAATAACGAAGAAGAAATGTTCAGTAAATACTTCTCTGTTTCTGAGTTTGAGTTCATTGAAAGGGAACAATGGGAGCGCGTATAGTTTCCAAGCCTACCATTTCTTCTTTCTTATTTTTCTGATCTCTCGGAGGTGATTGCAGATATGTCAGCATTCAAAGCAGCAAACCCAGATGCTGTGTTTGAGGACTTTATCAGATGGCACTCACCTGGAGACTGGGAGAGCTCTGAGCTTGAAACCACTGAAGCATCAGGCTCCATCTCTGAAGATTCAAAGGATAAATGGCCTCCTCGTGGCCGCCTATCTCAACGGATGTCTGATCAAGGAAACCTGTGGAGGAAAAATTGGAACGATGCACCTGCTTTGCCAGCCGATGACCAAAAGCCTCTCCTCGACCCAAACCGAGAAGGAGAAAAGGTAAAAGCCTCTTTATGAGATTATGCCATAACCTGTTATGAGATCTAGTTTGACCTCATTGACTTGTCAAATTTCACAGATTCTTCATTACCTAGAAACATTGCGCCCCCATCAGCTTCTTGAGCAAATGGTCTGCACAGCCTTCAGGGGATCAGCTGACACTCTTAACCAAACAAACTTCGGGGACATGAGACAAATGACATCTAAATTGGAGCAACTCTACCTCATCATCAAATCTACTTTGGGAGTTCTACAACGTAAGATTGGTTTAATTTTTCCTTGTGGCCCTCTTGTCTCTATAATAACAGATACTTGGATGCAGGCAACAAGGTTCCAGATATAGAACAGACGGTCAAAGATCTGAGACGTCTCTGTCTGGTCTTTGAACAAGTCGAGAAGTTGGTAACGATCGCAGCGTCTCTTCACAGAAAATTCCTTGAAGCACCACGCCTTGCTCAAGTTATATTCAGCGACTTCTACAGCACTTATGATCCAATAATGGGAATAAACTCAAATGACGAAGAGAACAAAAGCAGGAGGGTGAGTCATCGTTAAACTAGCAAGAATCTATCTTATGAGAATGAACTAACGTGTCTGGTCATTTGAAACACAGGAGATGGAAGTAGGGAGACAGGAAGTGAGTTTGAGAGAGAGACAAGTGGTGTCGAGTCTGTTCTCGCCGCCATCAACGGACCAGTCTTTGATAAAAGTGTTGAGTATGGGAAACCTTCTAAACGGGCACGAGCCAGTTCACAGGGAGATCATTTTCTCCACCGGGGACGATGTTAACAACGGAATCCATTATGCAGCCGCTGCTGACGTGGCGGCCACCAGTGACAGGAGAAGGGAAGAAATCGAGACACACCGAATGTATGTCTCTGGAACATCTAACGATCTTCGCGTTGCACTCTCTGTTACTTCCTGCGATTAATTTTGTTTGTTTCAATTGCCTATATCACAACATTTTAATTTCGACACATTTTTATTTCATATAAAAATTAGCAAATTGAAGAAATATCAAACATACAAAATTAGTAAGATGGTAGACTGAAATGCTGAGCCTATATGATAAGTTGATAACACTCAAGAAAACCACATTGCACATTTACACTTGTCACTACTAGAGTAGATGATGTCTGTTACGTTCGTACTTTACGGAAACACAAGACAAAAAAATGGCAAACAAAATAGTCGTCGACAGCAGGATTCGAACCTGCGCGGGCAAAGCCCAATTGATTTCGAGTCAATCTCCTTAACCACTCGGACATATCGACAATTTGTTGAAAGAGCAAATTAAAGATATTAGATTTTAATATTCTTATGTTCTAAGCAGGGATTGTTTCCTCATTTGTTTTCCATTGACATTTATGTTGGTTGGGTTTCCTTTTCTATTAGTGAAAGAAATATAAATAGCAAAAACGCGACAATATTTTTTAACGTCCGAAAAAGACACACAAATTAGCTAAAAGAGCTTTGGTCTGTTATCTATCGCAAACCCTAAGTCATGTCTGGTAGGTACAATCAAGACGGCGGCGGTGGTGCGCCTATTCCGTCGTACGGTGGTGATGGAGGTTATAGAGGCGGTGATGCTGGATACGGAGGAGGACGCAGTGCCTCTGGCGATAGAGGAAACCGTGGTATGTGATTTTAATTGTTCCAGATCTGAACTATTTCTCCTTTATGATTCTCTATATTTCTAAATCCCTTAGGGTTTCCCATCTGTTAATAATTTGATTCATTCGATTCAGGCGGTGGTGGTGGATATCAAGGAGGTGGCGGCGGCGGTAGAGGTGGTGGTGGTGGAAGAGACGGTGGAGGTAGAGATGGTGATTGGCGTTGCCCTAACGCAAGGTAAGGATTGTGAAGCTTAATTCTCTGTTTAAACATGTTTTGCATTTAAAAAAAAAAAAAAAAAAACATGTTTTGCATTTGTTTAAACTCGAAACTGTTTGTGTATATATATATAGTTGTGGGAACGTGAACTTTGCAAGGAGAGTTGAATGTAACAAGTGTGGTGCACCTGCTCCCAATTCTGGTACTGGTGATAGAGGAGGTGGCCGAGGTGGCAATGATCGTGGTAGTGGTCGTGATAGTGGTGGTAGTAGGAGCTATGAGAGTAGTAGATATGATGGTGGCAGTAGGAGTAGAGGTGATGGTGGTAATAGTCAACATAGGGATAATGGTTCTTATGGTCAGGGTCCTACACCTCCTCCCTTGGCAGCTATTCCATCCTACGATGGTTCTGGCAGTTACCCTCCTCCACCCATGGGTATGGGTTATGGAATGGAAGCAGTTCCCCCGCCTTCAAGCTATCCTGGTGGTCCCCCTTCTTATGGTGGTCCTGCAGGGGGTTATGGAGGGGATGCACCGAGGGGTGGTGGTGGTAGAGGTGGTGGATATGATGGTGGTAGTGCTCCTCGACGCCAGGAACCTAGTTATGAAGATGCACCTGCTGAAAAAGTCAAGCAGTGCGACGAGAATTGTGGGGATACTTGTGATAATGCTAGAATATACATCTCTAATTTGCCTCCGGATGTGACCGTTGATGAACTCAAGGATCTCTTTGGTGGCATTGGCCAAGTAATAAGACTGGTCTTTTACTTTTGTTGTGCTTTTTATGTCTCGGAATAAGCTGTTCCCTTCCCTTAGATTCTTGATTCTGTATTTTTTTTTATTGGTGTGCTGATTTGGAGTGCACTTCTTGTTGGATCTATAATAGGTTGGGAGAATCAAGCAGAAGCGGGGTTACAAAGATCAGTGGCCTTATAATATTAAAATTTACACTGATGATAAGGGAAAGAATAAAGGTGACGCCTGTCTGGCTTACGAAGATCCCAGCGCCGCACACTCTGCAGGCGGCTTTTTCGACAGTATGTACCGTGGGATTGCTGTCTAGTTAATTGCTTAAAAAATTATATTTGATGAACGGTGGTTGATTGTTTTGTAGATTATGAAATGAGGGGGAACAAGATTAGTGTAACGATGGCAGAGAAGTCTGCGCCCAAAGCTCCTGCTTTTGACCAGAGGTAGCTTTCTTGATTCTTAATTAGTACTTCACATTTTCTTTCTCACTGCTATTTAGGTGTCACCAGTCACCACTACTACATCGCATAAGTTTTTTGTTAGGAATATGTTTTCTTTTTGGACTGTTTGTTGGTATTTCTAAGAACTGTATGGGACTTGTTTTCTTCTGGGGGGTCTGCTTAGTACATTCATTTGGGTATGATAGAAAGATTAGGGAGTTCTATATAGGAAATCAACCACGTTTATAAACATATCTTTTAGTTTTTAGCTGTGCCTGTGGCTGCTTTTGATTTATGTTATAGTAGTTTTCCAAATAAGTTACTTCTTTGGTAGTCTTCTATGATTTATTAGACTCGCCCTTCTTGTGTTTGTCCCATCATCTTTAGCAACAACCTGATTTTTATTTGTTGGTAACAACTTGCTAAAACTTATAAATGGTGCAGAGGCGGTGGTGGTAGAGGAGGAGGAGGCTATGGTGGTGGAGATAGAAGAAGAGATAACTATGGTTCAGGACCAGACAGAAACCACCATGGGGGAAACCGGTCTCGTCCATATTGAGAGAACGAGATGAATCAATGTTATGTGTTATAAGAGTTTGTGTGTGTAAGGGGGGGAAATGTTATTATATGAATCAATCATATATTGGAAAGATACCAAACAAAACAAAAGAGGTAGGTTTTTGTTCACTTTGTCCTTGAATTTTACTCTCCTTGTCTTTCCATTTACTGTTTCTTTGGGGATCTATTATTTATGCATGAGTGGTTCTCTTTTTTTCACAAGATTTTTTTTTTTGTTTTTTAATAGAAGGAAGGGGATAATTAACTCCATAATGCATTGCAAATTGGTGGGTAAGGGTTCATGATGATTTCAGGTGAGTGCATTAATCTTCTTTCACTTTCTTGGCAAACACAACTCCATGTTTCTCTTCCTGGATCATTTTTTTTTTGACTCTGTTCAACTCAAACAAACTAGTCATATGTTTCATCTTGTAGTATGCACTCATCTAGGCGAACATATTATTCGTAGATTTATTACTCTCTTTCTTTAGCAACATATGTTACCTGAGAAACGGCAGGAGTAGGGGCCAGCTACACTTGTGTCTAATCCGTGGAGCCCTGAAGTATGCAGTTGTGAATTTAGTGCAAACTAGATCAGGATATTATAAGATCCGTTTAGGCTGTAGCTAGTTGATGAGTGATACAAAAAAGAGTGGCGTTTTAGGTTACAAATAGTTCATCATGTGATTTACATTTCATAGGCTAAAGAGAAAGGGGCACCTGTAATGAGTTTGATGTGCCTTGATACGACAGTTGCCAATTGAAAATCTTGTGGATTTGGGAAGGATAATGGATTTCGTGATTTTCTTGATCATTTCCCTGAGGATCCTGCTTCTGAACTGTGAAATACCACCGGATCAATCATCGGCTGGCTCCATCCACCACATTTTTGCACCGTTACATTCTCTCATGAGCCCAACATTGGATGTTATACAGGGTCCTGGTGACGTTTGTAAGAATCAGTACAAAATTACAACGTTTAAACCTACGCCAGTGTAGTTCTAAACCAAGTGGGTGACTTCTAACATGTGTAAAAATTGAAATTAATTTCTATTTATTAAGATCATCACATATTATTTTTCCAATCATGAGCTCTTGAGCTAATGCTAGATTTACACGTTAAAATCCAAATGTCTGTAAAGACCAAACTTGTGATTTTTCAAACTATCTTCATTCCGTGGAAGTTCACAGCGCTACAATGCATTGATCATAACCTTTCACCGTGGGAGTAACTGCTTTCATATCCACTAATAAGTTATTAATGCATTTTAACGATTCTCTATAAGATAAATTGTTACCAATTGATAAGTAGTTTGTATAACAAGGTAATAAAATATTACACAGTATAATGAACCTGATGTATTCCTCTTCAACAAAGTAGTAAAATATTACACAAACTGAAAACCTTACCCGTTAGCATCTCTTTTATACAAGCTCAGTGAAGCTAGGAATTAAGACGAACATACACCATAAAAGCGAGAAGAAGCCATAGAACTCAGGATGGATAGCGCCAATAAACATACAAACATTTCTTAGTATCAGTGAGTCATGGCGCTATCCCTCCTGAGCTTTACAGCTGCTTCTCAACTACACCACCTCAGATTTCCATGCATATACTCTCCATATGTGCTTATATATATAGTAGAGGGGATTTTGGTCGTGAATCACGTTGTTGTATATATATACTCTCAAGCGTCTCCAATAATGTACCAATTTTTCTAGTATTCAGCACATTTTTAATGCATTCCCATACCCACCACAAATATCATTTTACCAAAAAAAATAGGATGCTGAGAGAATATATCATTCATGGTGGAGAGCGTTAACCAGTGATTAATATATAGATATTTTAGTATAAGATTTGTTTGTTATTCTTTTCATTAAAATCACATATAATAAAGGGGATAAAACCCTCAACTAAAAATAGATCGTAAAAAAAAACCATCAATTAAAAATTTAGTGAAATAAATCCTCAATTTTAGTTCCGTTAATGTTTATCATCCTCCGTCACGAAATTTTAGACGGAGGGTGACATATGTTAACAGAACTAAAGTTGAGGGTTTATTTTACTAAATCTTTAGTTGGGAATTTTTGTTACGATTCATCTTTATTTGAGGAGTTTTATTACTAAAAAACCTATAATAAACGATGATTTATAGGTTCGTGTTGGACCATATTTACACTTAGTCGGATTATATGTATAAATTACTATTTAGCAATGAAATACGTTTAGATGTATAGTGTAGCTAGCGACTAGCTCCATAAGATAGTAGTAGTATTTTATACGATAGTGTTTTGGTAGCTAAGCTTTTATGTTCTCTACGGCGCAAACTTAGCACGGCCACGAATCGTCTGTTGGACCAGACACTGAGTATGTGGAAGAACGCAAATGCGGTGATGCATTAAATACTGGATGTAGATGGATCTTTATTTGTCTTTCATTTCAAAATATTATTTATGACAATAATGTTAAACCTCACATGTGATCCTTCACACTTTAAAAAATAAAGCTAGGAAAGTTTGAATCTATTTAAACTAGATGCATATTCTCCGCGCAAGCGCGGAGGTTGGATACGTTGTTGATGTGTTGTGTAGTTTTGTGTATGAGACTTTGCAGTTTTTTTTTAACATTTGTTTATCTGGCTTATCTATAATAGTGATTAATGAAACATTAGAAGTCACACAACTTGATTAGTCTGATAAAAGAATAAACATCGAATTCATATGGGTTGATATTTTCATATTTTATCTTCGTAGTGATTTTATCGAGCATTCCTTTTATTAGTGATTTTATCAAGCATTACTGTTATTAGTGCTTTCATGTAAAAAAATAATTTAATGGAGACAAGCCAAAAAGGACATGTGTTTATTAGTATAATTTTTTTTCTGAAATTATGTTGTATATATATATATATATATATATATATATATCTTTTTAGTTGTGATGTATATGAGATTTATGACCGATCTGAATGGTTCGGGGTAAATATTTATCATTGAAAAAAATATGTTTTTATTTTATTTGATGATTATAACTGAATTGAAATGATATTAGAAGTTAGAACATGATAACCTTTCTTATAAAAGTATCTAAGTTGGTCTCATAAAGTTTCAAATCCTTAAGTCATTTTGTATCCTAACAACCAGTATAAAAAAATCATTCTGAATCTTCTTAAGCTTTTAGGTATCCCGAAAAGCCCAAATTAAAAAAATAAAAAATTACATGCAAGCACTGCATTTCGAACCCGCGCACTCGCGGTACCAACTTCTCATCAACAACTTACACCACTGGGCCATTTTATCACTCATCGATAACATTCAGTCTTACAAAATGGTATACATTTTTGTTTTCCCTAATAACACGCACGGGGCCCACAAACTTGCTGACGTGGACACGCTTAGGAGCTTCAAAAGTGTAATATTATTATATAGATTTCTATTTTAGTTTCTCAGTTTTCTCAGCATTTTATAACATACTTTAGTTTACACTTGCATCATTGCTCACATAATTTGTCACTACAGAATATTTAGTGTGGATTTTATGATCTACAATACACATAGAATAATATGCACATTAATCCGATGGATTCTCTAACTATGCTAAATTATATACATCATGAACCTAGATACCACAAAATATACGTTGTTTTTTTTCATGCAAAAGGATAGTAAACACTGAAGACGAAAATAAACAGTAAGCAAACACTAGAATTGTTCCCAAAATGACGCATGTCCACATCTCTTTCAAAAAAAACATCAATCTTGGATCTATTCTCTTCACTCCTCCATCAATGATCATAACCGTCTTGCATTAGATAAAAACAAACCGTGATCTGCAAGATTAGTTTGCATGGTTAGGTACTTCCCCAACAACAATGACCAGATTCTCCTGCCCGTCCATCTCGGGTTCTGGCCGGAGAATCCAGACACTAACGTTGAGATTAGTACTCGACCCTTCTCCACCAGACTTCCAGTGGTGTGCCGACAAATCTATCATAAGCAACCATTTGGAATGTTCAGAGGCGAAAATGCTATGAACTATGCATTTTCAACTTTTTTGCTAGAAGCAGTTATTATTATCCTTTTCATCAAAACCACTTGCTTCCTCCTTAGACCTCTACGTCAACCTCGTATCGTCTGCGAGATCATTGTTCGTCACTAAAATCCTAAGGTATTAAAATCTTGAATTTTTTTTTTGAATATTAAAAGAATGGTTTATGTTTTTTTTTTTTTGAAGGGTGGAATGATGATAGGACCATCCATGCTAGGAGGAAGCAGAAACTTCAACTACTACGTGTTCCCACCAATCTCAAACTACATATGTGCAAACTTGGGACTATTGGGATTCTTTTACTTCTTCTTCATAACCGCTGCCAAGACCGATGTTACATCCGTTGCAAAGTCTCCAAGAAAACACAAATACATTGCAGCCATCGGTGTTCTCATTCCCGCCCTCTGCGTTTGTGTCACGGGGATGGCTATGCGACATAAAATGGATAAAAACATGAGGAAGATATCTTCCATTGGAGCGGTTGCGTTTGGGTTAGCTTTTAGTTCTTTCCCTGTTAATCTTAAGAGACATGAACCTTGTCAACTCAGAAGTGGGGAAGTTCGCTATGTCGGTGGCACTTCTTGGAGATATGGCAGCTATCTTGGTACTTACTTTTTTTGAGGCAATGATGCATGGTGATGTAGGAGGAGCCATGGCTATAGTATGGTACCTTGTATCGGTAGTGATCTTTAGTGGCTTTATGCTTTTAGTTGTGAGAGGAGCTCTTGAGTGGGTGGTTGCACAAACTCCAGAAGGGAAACTAGTGGACCAAAACTATATAGTGATGATACTCATGGGTGTTCTTGTCGCTTGTTTTCTCACAGACATGCTTGGTTTGTCTATAGGTGTTGGACCTATCTGGCTAGGGTTGGTTGTCCCTCATGGTCCACCTTTGGGTTCCACGTTGGCTATACGTAGCGAGACGTTTATACATGAGTTCTTGATGCCTTTTTCCTTTGGATTAGTGGGGTTGAACACTAATGTTTACTTCCTTACCAATGATATTTGGGACCAAGAACTCTCTCCTCTCGTCTACATGGCCATCGTTGGATTCATCACAAAGTTCATCGCTGTTGTCGCTGCTGCTGTGTTCTTTAAAGTCCCTACAAGAGATAGTCTCACGCTTGGTCTCATGATGAACTTGAAAGGCCAGATAGATATGTTACTCTACTTGCATTGGATAGACAAACGTATCGTTGGTTTACCCGGTTTCACTATTTTGGTTTTGCAAACGCTTGTGATAACCGGAATTTCAACGCCTCTTATAAGCTTCCTTTATGATCCAAACCGTCCTTATAGAATCAGTAAGCATCGTACCATCCAACACACTCCACCATCCTCCGAGATGGGTTTGGTTCTCGCCGTGTCTAACCATGAAGCCTTCTCCGGTTTAATCACATTCCTTGACCTAGTTTATCCCACTACAAGTAGTCCGTTCTCTATATACGCTATACAGTTAGTGGAACTCATGGGACGAGCTTCACCAGTTTTTATTGAAGAGGAAGATCCCGTTGTTGAGGAGGAAGAAGATCAAGAAGAAGAGCGTCATGAAAGTACTCGGAGCAAACGTGTTGACCAAGTTCAAAGCGCGTTTAGGTTATACCAAGAGACTAGAGATGAATGTGTAACGCTTCATGCCTACACTGCTCATGCTCCAAAGCGTTTAATGTATCAAGACATTTGCGAGCTAGCCTTGGTCAAGAAAACAGCTTTCATTCTCTTACCTTACCAACAAGAGCGTCTTAACGACGCTGCACCTACAGAGCTACGTAACTCCGGGATGCTATCCGTGAACGCTGATGTCTTGGCGCACACGCCATGCTCGGTATGTATCTTTTACGACAAAGGAAGGCTTAGAAACGACCAGCAACATTCAACTTCTTTGAGCCGTGGGAGACAAGAAACGTACCGTTTTGTGGTTTTGTTTCTTGGTGGAGCTGATAACAGAGAAGCTCTCCATCTAGCCGATAGGATGACGGTAAACCCGGACATAACGTTGACGGTGATTAGGTTTTTAGCGTTCAACCACGAAGGAGAGGATGAGAAGGAGAAGAAGCTAGACGATGGGGTGGTGACGTGGTTTTGGGTGAAGAATGAAGGTAAAGATAGGGTTAGTTACAAGGAGGTTGTGGTCAAGAACGGTGCGGAGACGTTAGCTGCGATACAAGCGATGAATGTTAATGACTATGATTTGTGGATAACGGGAAAGAGAGAAGGAATCAATCCGAAGATTTTAGAAGGGCTTGCGGAGTGGAGTGAGAATCACCAGCTTGGAGTCATTGGAGAAACTGTGGCTGGGAGTATATTTGCGTCGGATGGTTCGGTGTTAGTGGTTCAGCAACAGGTGAGGAACCGTAAGGGTGGTGACGCTTTCTTGAATAGGAAGTTTGATTATAAGAGTTTAGTGTCTTCTTGGTCGTGTTTTAGATGATTGGTTAGAAGTTAGAACGTTTGTTTAATCAGTTAGGTTTCTTTTTTTATTTTGGTTAAACTTGAGAATGTTATTTATGATTGGATTGTTATATTTTTAGCTAAAAAATTCACCAAAACATGCTAAATTAAACACAAATCTGCAAAAATCCAATCTCTAATTAAAAAGGTTTAAATAAAATTTTTTTTAACACTAAATAACTATGCTATACAAAATATAAAAAATATTATTTTAACATCCGAGAATTTTACTAATTTTCTAAGATTCACATTTAACTGTATACTAAAAGTCTTTTTGTAATATTTTTCATTAGTCTGTATAATTTTGTCTTTTTAGAATTTTAAACCCATATTTCTTTGTGTAGAAATTAAAAAAAAAATTAAGGGTTAATAATACGAAATTTTAAAATAATTTCATTTTCTTTCAGATTTTATAATAAAGACACGTAAATAAAAAAAAGGATTATAAAAAAAAACTAAAAACAAAAGCCTAGATACAACCCAAAAGAGTCCTAAGGCCCAATAGAATCTAAACCAGACTATTTGTGAGACTACACCCAAAAGCGTCACCGTCGTTCAACTCCACGCGAATACCCCGCCGCTACACGTCCACCACCACCGGTAATCTGATCTGTTTCCGGGCGGAATGGAGGAAGAAATGGCGAATCGACGAGTCTCGAGTCGGACTCGTAAGGTTGCTTCGAAGATGGCGGCGGCTCTTACAAGCACTGACAATCGAACGCAGGTGCGTCGTTTGATTTTCGAAAATCACTCTTTGATTTTGTGTTGGAAAATTACCTCAAATGTGTCAATTCTAGGCTGCTATTGCACGGCTGGAAGCTTTAGAGAACGACAATGGAGCTGTGGAGGTGGTTGATTTAAACGATGATGAAGAAGCCTCTCTAGATGAAGAAGACGATCTCGGTGAATTAATCTTATATTCTTTCACTGTAATCTGTAATTCAAATTTTAATTAATGTTTTGGTTTGTTGCAGGTTACGTGCAGAAGAAACAACACAAGGGATCTAAGCGTAAAACTCGACAGGCAAAAGCTTTGGAGGCTCGTAAAGCTCCCAAGTCCTTCACTGAGCTCTTGCAGGAGGCAAATTTGGAATCTTTACCGTCGCATGTGCCGAGTTACTTGAAAGCAGCCGTGGGACCTCCGAGTTCGTCTTCTCGTCGCCATTTCTGTACGGTCTGTGGATACATTGCGGGATATAGTTGCTGCTTATGTGGGATGCGTTTTTGTTCTATTCGTTGCCAAAACATTCACAAGGATACTCGTTGTCAGAAGTTTGTTGCATAGGAATTTATTAGCATTGTACTAAAACATCATTAATCTCTCTTTTTGTGTAATGAATGTGTGTTATCAGATTAAATAGCCCAAAGAAAAAGCAGCCACGTTTCTGTCTAAAGTGTTCTTATGATTAGGAGGGATCAAACGTGGGACATCTCTTGTTTGAGCGTTCCCAGTAGTTTTATTCACAGAACTGAAGAAACTCACTGTGAACTCTCTGTTCCGCCATGGCTGTTTCACGTGCTGCATCTACTTTGCTCCAAGTTGTTAGTGCTTCAAGAATTCAACTTCCTAACCAAGTGGTCTTGGCCTAGTGGTAAAGGGGTTCCAACTGAAATTTCCGTCCTGGGTTCGATTCTCCTTGGCCTCCCATGGACGCCACCATGGTTATCAAAAAAAAAAAAAAATGCTATTTCCAGGCTCTGATTCTTTGCTAAATTTCTTCTCCATAAGGACCATAAGTTTGAACCACTAAATTAAGCTTGGCAACTCCATCAATCTTATTTCATTAAACCGGCCGGTTTACCACCTACCCGGTTTAAAACAAAACTAAGAACTACACCAATGACAGTGAAGTCACAACGACTACAATATTACACGCCCATGCCACTTTCACACAACAAGGCCAAGTCAAAGATAGCGTCTCTCTTACGGGGTATTTTCGTCATTCCACAAGCTTCTATCCATCCAATCCAAGTCTTCTCCCTTCCTTCCTTGGAACTTTCTTCGTCTTCGCTTCCTCACTTCCCCCGTCGATCTCGCCGTCACATCACAAACAAAAACTCTCTCCAACTCCTTTCACATGGCGGAAAACGGCGAAGAGAAGCTACTAGCCGTAGCGCGTCACATAGCCAAAACCCTCGGCCACAACGAATCCATGGCCGACGACATCCTCCAGATCTTCTCCACCTTCGACGGCAGATTCTCCCGCGAAAAGCTCTCCGAGGACCAACCTTCCGAAGAAGACGGATCGTCCTCCGGAGTCGCCGTCCTCGATCGAGCTCTCAACTCCCTAGACTCCCAGATCTCCCGCTTCATCGCCGCCGATCAACCGATCTGGTCCGATCCCGCCGACTCCGCCGCCTTCCTCGACGCGATCGACGAGCTCGTGAACATCACCAGAGAGTGGAGCCACTTGTCCTCCGAGAAACCGATCGGTCTGTGCCTATCACGCGCCGAGGATATGACGCAGCAGGCGATGTTCCGAATCGAGGAGGAGTTTAGGTCTCTTATGGATCAGGGAACCGAGTCGTTCCCGGTTAACCACCGGTTCGATTCCGAGGAGGAAGATGAAGAAGATGAGGATGAAGAATACCGAAACGAAGATGATTCTCAGATCCCAGTGGCGCAGCCTCTAACTGATTACGATCTCATCATCGACGCGCTCTCTTCGGCTACGATCAACGATCTCCACGAGATTACTAAACGAATGCTCGCAGCTGGATTCGGTAAGGCGTGTTCACACGTTTACAGTGGATCAAGGAGAGAGTTTCTTGAAGAGAGCATGTCGAGATTAGGGCTTCAGAAGCTGAGTATTGAAGATGTTCATAAAATGCAGTGGCAGGAGCTTGAGGATGAGATAGACCGGTGGATTAAAGCAGCTAACGTCGCTCTCCGTATCCTTTTCCCTAGTGAGCGTCGTCTCTGCGACCGTGTCTTCTTCGGATTCTCCTCCGCTGCTGATCTTTCGTTTATGGAGGTGTGTCGTGGCTCGACGATTCAGTTACTGAACTTCGCTGACGCGATTGCGATAGGTAGCCGTTCGCCTGAGAGGTTGTTTAAGGTGCTTGACGTGTTTGAGACGATGAGGGATTTGATGGGGGAGTTTGAGTCTGTGTTCTCTGATCAGTTTTGTTTAGTGCTTAGGAACGAAGCTGTGACGATTTGGAAACGGTTGGGGGAGGCGGTGAGAGGTATATTCATGGAGCTTGAGAATTTGATCCGGCGAGATCCGGCGAAAGCTGCTGTTCCGGGAGGTGGTTTGCATCCGATTACTCGGTACGTGATGAACTACCTCCGCGCGGCGTGCAGGTCTAGGCAAACGTTGGAGCAAGTGTTTGAGGAGAGTAATGGTGTGCCGTCGAAAGACTCGACTCTGTTGACTGTACAGATGTCTTGGATCATGGAGCTTTTAGAGAGTAATCTTGAAGTTAAGTCGAAAGTGTATAAAGATCCGGCGTTGAGTTATGTGTTTCTGATGAACAATGGGAGATACATTGTTCAGAAAGTGAGAGACGGTGAGCTTGGAGTGCTTTTAGGAGAGGATTGGATTCGGAAACATAACGCTAAAGTGAAACAATATCATATGAGTTATCAGAGAAGTTCGTGGAGTAAGATGATTGGGTTGCTGAAGGTGGATAACGCAGCGGCGGGGATGAATGGGTTAGGGAAAGTGATGAAGGAGAAGCTGAAAGAGTTTAATATGCAGTTTGAGGAGGTGTGTAAAGCTCATTCGACGTGGGTTGTGTTTGATGAGCAACTGAGAGAGGAACTGAGAATCTCACTGGCTAAACTGTTGTTGCCGGCTTATGGGAACTTCATCGGAAGGTTTCAGAACCTTGGAGATATAGGGAAAAATGCAGACAGGTACATCAAGTTTGGTGTTGAGGACATAGAGGCACGTGTTAACGAGCTGTTCAAAGGGACAACGACCGCAAGAAAATGAAGGTATGACACAGAGAGCTTCTACTTGTAAGATCTTTGTAAACGAACCACATGCTGATGACCAGGAGAGACTTGCAGAGTGGATTTGTAAAATGTATCGTTTTGGACAGCTATGCTAGTGTTTGTGTTATGTTGTATTGTATTAAAAAAGAAGAAACAGTTTCGTTTCTCCTAGAGATGTTAGAAAATCATCATCCAAATTGGTCAAAAATTTAGGTAAATTTTAAAAAACCAGTTGGCTAAACCCAGGGGCAGAGGTAGTAAAGGAGGAGGGGTGTGACCCCACTATTTTTCTTATAAAAATTGCTTTTACTATATAATTTAAAGAAGAAAAGATAATCTGATAGAGATGATCCCTGCTTCTACTCAAGGGAGCAACATCTCCTTCCCATTGTTCTAGCTACCGACGTGGTCATGTGATACTATGCGATCATCGTTATGATCATTCTCTATATTCTCTTCCTTTGTTTAATGATTTATTTTCTTAAAACATTCCATAGATCATAACATACAAGCTTCTTCTCGTATCAAAATAATATTAAGGTTTAGGTGCTCCATTTTGTTACTTCGTTGTTATTGTTGAATCATCAAAACAACTCGACAATGAATTAAAACTGCAATGAAAAATGACAAAAGAAAGTGATGTTGAAGTTTTTGTTGAATCCTTGAAATAGAGAAAATAAAACAAGTTTCAAAACAAAAAGAATCAAAAGCAAGTCTAAGAAAACATATGAGGTCTACAAAGACATAATAAAGAGCTGGAAAATCACAAAATCAAGCAGCTTGTTGACCAGCAAGCCTCTTCCTGGCTTCCTCAATGATGGTAAGCTTAATACCTTTACCCTTAGGAAGAGACACCCACGGCTTTGTTCCTTTACCCAGAGTAAACACATTACCCAACCTTGTAGCAAACTCATGTCCTGTCGAGTCCTGAATGTGGATTGTCTCAAAGCTTCCCTTATGCTTCTCACGGTTCTTAATCACACCAACACGCCCTCTGTTTCTTCCTCCAGTAACCATCACAACATTACCGACATCAAACTTGATGAATTCAACAATCTTGTTCTCTTCCAAGTCGAGCTTGATGGTGTCGTTAGGCTTGATGAGCGGGTCAGGGTAACGGATGGTGCGACCATCGTATGTGTTCAGGTAAGGAATACCCTTCTGTCCGAACTGGATAGTTCGAACCTTGCAAAGCTTGAACTGTACAGATATAAAAACAAAATTTGTCAAGCATTACTCTAAATGATGATACCAAGAGAGAGAGAGAGAGTTAGAGAAAGATCTAAACCTTTGCCTCCTCATCCCTGATGGAGTGAAGACGGAAACGACCCTTGGTGTCATAGAGAAGACGGAAGTTCTCATTAGTCTTGGGGATAGAGACAACATCCATGAAACCAGCAGGGTAGGTCTTGTCAGTCCTGACTTTGCCATCAACCTGGATATGCCTTTGCATCAAGATGGAGATGACTTCACGGTAGGTAAGAGCATACTTCAACCTGTTCCTGATGATAAGAACAAGAGGAAGACACTCTCTAGACTTGTGTGGTCCAGAAGATGGCTTAGGGGCCTGTTTGGAACCAATATGAACATTGTTAGAATATTATATATTAAAATCAAAAACAGAAGAAATAAGAGAGTAGAAGAAGACGTACAAAGGCACCACCAAGTTTGTCAAGCATCCAATGCTTAGGGGCATTGAGCCTCTTCAAATGCTTCTTTAAACCTCTCGCCTGTTTAATAACAGAACATAACACATATGTTAGAACTATACAAGTGACATTTCCAGTGTTATATAATCAATCATGACCTAGAGAGAAGCTATTACATCTGAGATCTAAGTAAGATCAGATCTAAGGACAATCACCGTGAAAATTATCGAATCATTCTAATTGCTCTGAAACTAAGTTAACGACTATCTATCTCAGTGACACAAAGCTTCCAGCTAGATTACGAAACCATGTAAAATTAACAGCAGAGAGAAAGAGAGAAGGGAGGAAGACGAACCATGTTTGGAGTTCGTAAGCGTAGCGCCGATCCAGGCGACCTCTCTCGTTTAGCTCTAAACGAGTGGTGAAGTTTGTGAGAGAAGACGAGTAAAACCCTAATTGTATTTATATACCCTCCTACACAAATGTTAGGGTGTTTTGGGCTCTTAATGTTTCGGGCCCATTAATTCCGTTTTTGTTAGGCCTTTTTGAGTTGTCCATTTATCTATCAATTTCAAGGAAGAACACAACTGAAAAATACACATTTCCGACTTCACTGATTTAAACTATTACATGAGTTGACCAGAGATCTCAAATATTATTTAAAAACTATTTGATTAGTATAACAGTATTTATGAAATAGTTTTAGTTAATTAAGTTAATGTATTGTAATGGGTTTTACATTTGATTATTTAGTTAATGTTAAGCGAAGTAAGTTAATGTTAAGCGAAGTAAGCTGATGAGCAGGAGAGACTTGCAGAGTGGATTTGTAAAATGTATCGTTTTGGACAGCTATGCTAGTGTTTGTGTTATGTTGTATTGTATTAAAAAAGAAGAAACAGTTTCGTTTCTCCTAGAGATGTTGAGAACATGAATCATCCAAATGGGTCATAAATTTAGGTAAATTTTTAAAAACCAGTTCTCTATATACACTTTTCATTAGCTTCCACATGTATAAATGTATAATGAATCATTCCAAGAACCAAAATTACACATAAATCTTGTGTATTATACCTATGTGACCTACGTTCATGCGAGTGTTCCTTAATGGAAACTTCACGTTGCCTTTTAACAAGTTCCATAATTTCCAATATCATTTTTTTAATTTCCAATATTTCCATATAATTGATGGTTGCTAGGGATATTAATTATAAGTTATAAAAACGTGATATATAATGACAAACCTAGCTAGGTTTTTGAGACAGCTTAAACCTAGTCATCTATAATAATTAAAGAGTTTCTTTCAATTTATATTTCATCCGTTTTATTTTAATTGTTATTTAAAATTTTTACACACAAATTAATAAATCATTTAGTTTTGTATATTTTCAAAATAAAAATACACTATTACCAGTACATATAACCACATTTCAACTAACAGAACAATAGAAAAATAGATAAAACTAATAAATTATGCATGAAATTAGAAAAAAAAATCACTTATTTTAAAACGAATTTTTTTTCTCTAAAACGCCAAGTAAACTAAAATGGAGGGAGTATATGGTAAAAAAAATGAAAAATGTAAGCAGGAAAAAAAGGGAAAGTACCTAAAGCATGAATTTGGTTTTGGTGGCATAAGGATCATGACCCCGTAATTGATGTGTTTATAATTACTTCTCAAAAGAAAAAGAAAAATATTGATGTGTTTATGCTTGTTAGAAAATGAAATAGAGTCGATATTTGAGAAGAAAATTATCGCCGTGAATTTACAAAAACAAACACACACACACACGTGTATGTAAGTAAGCAATCCTCTATAAAGCCCTCATTTCTCCTGCATGCTTTTTTGACTCAACTCCAAAAACAAACATTAAAGCAAAGAGAGAATGAAGAACAACAAGCAGAGAAGTATGTTAATTGTGGTGTTGGTAATGATAACGTGGAGCTGTTGTTACAGCCACGCCCAGCTGAACCGTGACTTCTACAAGGAAAGTTGTCCCTCGTTGTTCTATGTGATAAGACGCGTGGTGCAGCGGGAGGTGGCCAAGGAGCGTCGCATGGCTGCTTCTCTCCTCCGGCTATTCTTTCATGACTGTTTTGTCAACGTAAAATATCATTTTCTTTTTAATGGCTCAAGATTGCATGGTTGGCTTGTTCCATTGATTACTCCAACAATTTACAAAATGCATGGTTTATACAGGGGTGTGACGGATCAATATTGTTGGACGACACTTCCTCTTCTTTGGGAGAGAAAACGGCAGGCCCAAACAATAATTCTGTGAGGGGATTTGATGTGGTTGATAAAATCAAGTCGAGGGTTGAGAGACTATGCCCAGGCGTCGTCTCATGTGCAGACATTCTAGCTATCACTGCTCGTGACTCTGTCTTCCTCGTTAGCACTTTTACATTTACTCTTTTATGACAATACTGCTAACCGCCCAACTACAACATTCGGATCTATGATATTTTCAGCTTAATGGTTTTTGATACATCAGTTACTTTTTCATTTTCTTGCACATCAAATACTTTTAATTTTTTTTTGCACATGGTTATGTGTATACTATATGGTTTGTATATAGGACCGGTCCAAAGCTATAGAGGTATATAGCCAATTTAACAATTGTGTTCATTTATTTCGTTTTCATCAACTGAAAATTACAATGATACTATACCAAAATTTAATATTATAATAACAAGAAAATGTTTGAAAAAAACAAGTATATAATGTACATTATATTAAATCTCGTTTGTGTATATTATATAGTATATGCAGTTACACATAGTCTTGAACCATTCTATATGATCTTTTGTGAATATATTGTGTATGTGTTCTTATCTTTATATATAATCTTGTTTACATTTTTTTTTTTGAACTAAACAGCTGGACGGGCCTCGTTGGAGCGTGAAACTTGGGAGAAGAGATTCCACCAAGGCGAGCTTCACGACCGCTAATTCTGGCGTTATCCCTCCTCCAACCTCTACACTCAACAACCTCATCAACCGTTTTAGAGCACAAGGTTTAACCTCACGTGACATGGTGGCACTCTCTGGTGCACACACTATTGGACAAGCTAGATGCGTCACTTTTAGAGACCGTATCTACAACGAAAGCAACAACATTGAACTTTCTTTCGCCTTGTCCAGACAAAGAAGCTGTTCGGCTGACTCTGGCTCTAGCGACAACAATGAAGTCACTCTTGATATCCACTCTCCTGGAAGGTTTGACCTTAACTACTACAGACAGCTTCTTAACCACAGGGGTCTACTCACTTCGGACCAAGCTCTTTACAGCGGCGGTTCAACTGACTCGCTTGTCGTGTCTTATAGTCGTAGTCTCAACGCCTTTTACCGTGATTTTGTAAGGGGTATGGTTAAGATGGGCGATATCAAACCACTTACGGGATCCAATGGTGAGATCCGTAACAACTGTCGCAGACCAAATTGAATCTCTTACTATATCATGAAGCACATTGGGATAAATAATCCATTAGTATATTATTGGTCAACTGTGTTCTGTGTTAAATCATTTTTACGTGTTTTATACGTCAACTATTTAAATAAACATTATAAAACATAATATAATGGAGATCGTGATACAAAAGTTTGTGGCTATGCAGTTTTCATTTTTGTGTGTTCCATCTCGTCTCAGTTGTCACATTAGCTCTGTAATTTTATGAAAAAATGTATTGCCATTGCTCAGAAACTTATTTTGAAATTTCCAAATAACATATTTCTAGTTTAATACAATTCAATAAACGATTATTAAGATGTCAAATTGCTAAAGAGTTACTCTTCAATAGATTTCTCAGTCGAGAATGGGTTTTCAATCTTTATATTTTTATTAGTTGATTATTGATTTTTCAAAAAGAATTACTATTGGACAAGGAGTTGTGTGGATGGATGCGGAGATATTTCAAGTGAAGAAATGTAATGAAGATACTCTAGAGTATGAGAAGTTAGTGAAAGAGGATCTTAGACCTGCTCTTGCAGATATGGTGTGGGTTTGGCAGAGTGATAAAGATGAGCAGTTACTGTCTGTTTCACAGCAAGAGTCAGACCAACAACAGGAAGAAGAATCATTGTAGTTTTGTGAATGTTTGTAATCAACTTTTGAATTTTATTAACTTTGATGATGAAAACGTATATGAGTTTCCTACATTGCGTCTGTGAAAAAGAGGTAACATCCTGATAAAATTAAAAGTCGTTTCCAGACATGGACGAAGTATCAAGTGTTGTCCAAAAACACTTACTTTAGCTATAAAAAGAGGTAGAAAGTAAGAAAAAAACTCAGACTTTATTGACATTTAGTGGTGAAAACGAGATCTGTAATATTATAGTACATAGACAATAAGCGATTTAGGGTGTTGTCAATTGCAAAATTTAGACAGTTACAGACAATGGAGAGAGAGTAAAAAAAAAACTCAAGAAGAGCTGTCGGAATTGGAACAGAGATGGTTCCAGAGATAACGGCCACTTGCCATGTCAACGCATGTCCAAAATCCAGACTTGATTGCCATTCCCACCTGAGAGACCCCATAAATGAAAAAAAACCATGTTAGTCCCCAAAATAGAGAGAATTAATGAAGATCGGAGGAAAAAGAAGAGACCTTTGAGAATCTAGAGTCAGAGTCAGAGTCTTCTACATGATCAGCTTCCGTGAGAGGGTCGGCGAGAGGATCGTCGTAGGAATTGTTGAGCTTCTTGAGGACAAAGAACCCAGCAAGAGTCGCTGACAAGAATATTAGGATCAGCCTTAAGGGACACATCTCTTTCTTTGCTTCTTCCTTCCTCTCTTTGGTTTGCTTTCTGTAGATGATGAAGAGCAATGAGGAGAGAGAGAAAGAATCAGAAGTTGACAAAGAAAAGAGAGAGAGAGAGAGAGATGAGGAGGGAAAGAAAGAGAAGACCAAATAAAAAAATGATGGAAAAAGAGGAAAGGAAGAGAGAAAAATTCAAAGGGTGCTGTTGAAGGAGTGCCAAAGCAGGTAGGCCACTACTTAAAGTTATCTCAAGAATTTAAATATCACGTAAATAACACCTTTAGATTTGGCTAATCGTTACATCATCATTATTTGTTTTTTAATTGAATAAGCACATTAACATTACACTAAAGATATTACATGAATACAAATCTACAGTTTTGTTCAAAAAATATGGGAGAAGCTAGCGCCTTGAGCTACGTGGCTTCCTGGAGACAGCATAAGGTGACTGAAACCCAACGTTTTCTACGTCTCCAACAGTTTTGAACAACCTTCTCTTCCTAGCCTCTTCCAACAGAGACCGCTGCAGTAACTGCCTCTGCACGTCTACAAGTGAGCGGTTCCTTGTAAGTGAGCGGTTGTCTGATGCTAATCTCCAGTTACTTGAACTCGAAGCTGCATACATGTTACCAGGAACCAAAGAAGAGATCTCTCCATCAATCATTTTAGCAATCTCGACTGGCTCCCAATCTGTGATCTCGAGTTCCTTTACCATCTCCTTTGCAACATCAATGGAAGTGTCATTCATGATGTCAAAGGGAAAAGAAACTTTCTTTGCCTTACCTGAAAATAAAGAAACAATTAAGTGACCTAACCATAACAAGATGATCAGCTTAATCCAACTAAGCTTCTTTTACCATTTTCATCTGCGATTAGTACGTTGAGAAAGATTGTGTTATCTTCAGCGTTCAGCTTTCCAGTGATGGTCATATGGCTCTTTCCTAACTCATCATCTTTCAACTTCAGTCTGTTCAGTTCATTCTCGTTTAAAAAGGGCTTCAGATTCTCAGCAACTCTCGCGTACACCATCCAGGACTCGTCAGGCGATAGAAATGGATCTTGCAATAGCTCTCTTGCTGACACTCTCTTTGAGGCAGGCACGAGGCATTTCCCGATGAACCTCTGTGCATCTATGTCGCCAACTCTGTAAAAGGCTCCTGGTAACTTTCCCTGGAAAGAAAACATTACAAGGTCATGCCTGGTTCAACTGATAGCTTCATCCATATATGCTCACAGATAAAAAAGACATACCGCAACAACTTTCTTGTATATCTGCGCCGGATTGTTGCACTCACCATAAGGGAACTCAGAGGTGATCATCTCCAAAAAGCACATACCAAATGAATAAACGTCAATGAGCTCATTATAGTTCTCCTCATATAATTCAGGAGCCATGAACTCAGGAGTGCCTACGCAAAAGAAGCAATAATTAAGTCTAAGCACATGATTAGAACGCGAAGTGAGAACAAACCATTTTTGTAACATACCGAGGATACTATGGGCAGAGTGGCAGTCCCGCAGCATTCTTGCAAGACCGAGATCGCCGATTTTGACTTGTCCAAGATGTCCATTAACAAAGATATTATCACACTTGAGGTCTCTGTGGATAACAGGAGGGTCGTGACCATGGAGATAAACAAGCCCTTCTAAGATCTGCCGAGCCCATGACTTGATTGCTCTGATATCTATCCGCACGTACTTATTTTTGTACCTACACATGAGGGATATGGTCACATGAAGCAAACATTAAGTAATATTTTTAGAAGAGCTGTGTAAGAGAATATTACTGTCGGAGGGTCCCGGAAGTGAACAGCTCGGTGATGAAGTTGAGAGTATGGGAAGGAACATCGATCCAGGAAGTGTAGAAACGAATGATGGATTTGTGGTTTAGAGTGCTGAGGAGATGAACCTCGGAGTATAGCCTCTGTATATCAACAGAAGAACGGAGAACCTCTTTTAGCTGCACCTGGCTCCACGCTACTTCTATTCCCAACATCTCGTCGATTGCTTTGTACACTGTCTTCATCGCTCCCCTTCCAAGAACTTCTGCAAACTGTTCCAACATTTAAAAAACAAGTGTTACAAAAGTAGTTTGATTCGTGAACATAGACTCTGTCTGTCTCCTTACTTACACGTCCATAGCGTCCAGTGGGATCGGTTTCAGCATACTCTGTAACTTGATGCATGTTCATGGTTGAGACGAGATAACTGTGGCGGCCAAAAGTCTTCCTCTTCTTCTACTTCATCAAAGAAGCGTCAGAAGATAATATAAGTTGAACAGTCTTTGGACTCACCCATACAAATAATGGAATGAATAAAGACAAGAGCCTGGACCTTTCTTGCATCACGTATACTACAGAAGATCATTTATTTTTGTTGACCAAATTGTATAAAACTTTGACAAACCTTAGTTGCCAATCAAAGACACTCAAGCCACAGCATTGAAACGTGAAGCATTTTGTAAACACACATGGCTAAGTAAGCTAAACGGTAAAAAGAATATGCCCTGTTTTATTTTGTGAACCACAAACACAATAGCAAAGAGGATAAGACTTACGAAACTGTAACTTATTGGAAATGGGAAGGAAAGAGTTTTGTTGCTTTAGGAAACTGCACGAATCAACAAAACCAATTATTATTAAAATTGAAATCAATAAAAAATAAAACGACAAAAAAAGAGGAAAAGTCAGAACAGAAGTGGGAAACATGGCGAGAATAGAAGAGAATAGAGAGATAGTGACATCACCATTGATGATTTGCTTCTTTTTTGTTGTTATTGGCGGCTACTTCCTTTAGCTCTCAAGGAGTTCAGGGTTCTGCAATAAACTAGCAACACATAACAAAGCAGTAACCAATACATATGTCGATGATCTTAGAACTAAATGGATATGTTATACATATTTGACTACTGTTTTGTTGTCAACTAGATGTTACATGACACGTAGAAAAGGAAGGAGAGAGAGAGAGGAAGGTATTAAAAATGAAGATAAGGTTGGAATATATCCCAAACATGAACAGCCTAAAAGTTTGACACTGACTACACTATAGTCTGCTCTTTCATCATTACCATTCACCGCACCACATGTGAAGACCCTTTCTTCACCAATCTTCTCCACAGTTGATATGTGACGCAGGCAAAACCTCACATCAATTCAAAACCCATTAACTATCCTTCAAAAGATGTTCACCTCTACCAAACTAAGTTCCCCCAACAACCTTTTATATCACTCACACTTAACATATTTACTTAATTAAACTGATGAGTGCTAGAAAAGGACGTGCTCACCTCAGTTCCTCTCTGCTAACACTACAGGGTTTGCATTCTTTATATATTCCCATCATTTACCAAACCTACACAACAACAAAATGACAATGCTACAAACATATAAGTTGAGTTATGTTCTGGTATTTAGCATTAGTAATAGAGCACGGGACTTGGCAAAGAGTAATACTCTTTTATTTCTTCTGGTGTACACTCTCCAAACGCCTCATGCTTTTCATCAACAGCATTTGCATCCCCTCTGTTGCGAACATTATCGCCCTCGTGCTTTTCATCATGCCCCTCCCCAGCCACATGAAGCTAACCGCGCACTCAGCAGCCGTCCAGCAATACGTCTGACTTGTGAGACTCCATAAGCAGTGAACGTAGCTTCAACAGAAGCTTCTCAAGAATCTCGAGTAACTTAAGCGTTCCCTCGGATCAAAGAGCTGGATATTTCCCGTAAAACGGAAGATATCTTGAGCTTTAGGAAGTCGCCGGAATCTCCAAATTTTCAGCACCGAAAGCAAGTTAGTGGGGGAAAACCATACGATTACGTTGACGAAGGATGAAAACGGCGACCCATTTATCGTTAACCTCCAGTTTTTAAACTTCTGCGATCAAAATCGTACCTTTCGTTAAAGTTCCCGCCGATGAAGTTTTGCAGTGTGGCCGGAGAAGACTAATAGCTCCGATTCTCTTTAAGGTATTTAGTTGGGCCTTTATTGGGCTTAAAGTCAAAGAAAATATCCAGTAAATCTGGGCTTTCAGGTAACGGATCGTTTTTTTGTTGAAAATTTCGGATATCGGTAACATAGAATTATGGATCAGGTTTAGATACATTTCGGGTTTAGGCCGGTTCGATTCAAAATTATTAAAATCCGGTTAAATCGTACATAACCGAGCTAACCTGATATTTTTTTTTTTTTTTTTTTTGTAACACGCTAACCTGATATTTTAATGGGCCTTAACATGGGTTTAAAGTCAAAGTAGATAGAGTCAATGCGGATAGCAAAATAATCGACAAGTGTCGTTACCAGAGCCTTATCCACAGATTCTCTAATCCTATCTGTCTTGGCGCGCTCTTTGTCTGTGTCTCTTCATAGTTCCGTAAAAGTTCTCACTTCTCACTTTCACAAGTTTGTGTCTCTGCGATAATGGCCATGTCAGACCTTTCCACCCCCAAAACGACGTCGCCTTTCCTCCACTCTTCGTCTCGGCTTCGCCTCTCCTCCAAGTCGCATCTTTCAAACCAGTTTCGACACCTTCTTCTCCCACCTCTCCACAGAACTTCCGTCTCCAAAATCTCTTGCTCTGTTTCTCAGAAGTAAGTCTCTGTTCTATACTGATTTATTAAAGTTTCATCCTTTATCTGATCAGATGCTTGTTTTTGAATCTATGGTAAAAGTAACCAAGCTCCTGTCGCGGTTCAAGATAATGGGTCGGTGAAGACGAAGAAAGAGTGTTATGGAGTGTTCTGTCTCACCTATGACCTTAAAGCTGTAATCTTTACTTTCTCTCTGTTTCAGTAATCCTCTGCTCCACATGGATAAATGGATAATTGTTTTAATTCAAATCTGCAATCTTCTTTGATTTTGAGTTACCAAATGTTTGTGTTTACAGGAAGAGGAGACGAAATCATGGAAGAAGATGATCAATATCGCAGTTTCAGGTGCTGCAGGAATGATTTCAAACCATCTTCTCTTCAAAGTAAGTCCCTTCCTTTGGGTATGATTACTTTACCAATCATTTGATCTTATCTTATGTGAACTTGTTTTTTTCTGGTGTAGCTTGCTTCAGGTGCAGTGTTTGGACCAGACCAACCCATTGCTTTGAAACTTCTTGGATCAGAGAGATCGATTCAAGCTTTAGAAGGTGTTGCAATGGAGCTGGAGGATTCCTTGTTCCCTTTGTTGAGAGAAGTTGATATAGGAACAGATCCATATGAAATTTTTCAAGATGTGGAGTGGGCTCTCCTGATTGGTGCAAAACCTCGAGGACCTGGAATGGAACGTGCTGCTTTGTTGGACATTAATGGTCAGATATTTGCTGAGCAAGGGAAAGCTCTTAACGCAGTTGCTTCTCCTAATGTTAAGGTCCTTGTAGTGGGGAATCCTTGCAACACCAAGTAAGCTAACATTCCTTGAAAATTCACTACTCTTTCATATCGTAATCGTCTCCAAACATCTTAAGTATACTTTGTTTTGTCTGCAGCGCCTTGATTTGTCTTAAAAATGCTCCCAACATTCCAGCAAAGAACTTCCATGCTCTCACAAGGCTGGATGAGAATCGAGCCAAGTGTCAGGTACCATATTTCAGACATACATGTGATCATATGCATTTTTTTAACTAACATATGATTGACAATGACATTGTGCAGCTTGCTCTAAAAGCTGGTGTTTTCTACGACAAAGTGTCTAACATGACTATATGGGGAAATCACTCCACTACTCAGGTTTGCCTTTAACTTCTTTCTCTAGTGTCACTTGTTGTTGCTCTATCTCTTGGGATGGTTCTCTTATGTTTTAGAGGTGAATCAGGTGCCAGACTTCTTGAATGCCAGAATCAATGGCCGGCCGGTGAAGGAGGTTATTACAGATCACAAATGGTTAGAAGAGGGATTCACTGAGAGTGTGCAGAAGGTAGAATTGTGATGGTTTCTGCAATGGGAGATAACACTATTGGCTGAGTAAGTTGCTTTTGCGTTTGTTTTACAGAGAGGTGGCTTACTGATTCAGAAATGGGGTCGATCTTCTGCTGCTTCTACCGCTGTTTCCATTGTTGATGCTATAAAGTCTCTTGTGACTCCTACTCCTGAGGGTGACTGGTTTTCGACCGGGGTACATCTTCTTTTACACGCATTTTGATAGATTGGTTCAGACTTTGATAGTGTCTTGTGTTAATGAACTTTATTAGGTGTACACAAATGGAAATCCTTATGGTATTGCAGAGGACCTCGTCTTCAGCATGCCATGCCGGTCAACGGTATGTTCTGTGCTTAATACATGAAAAAGGTTTTCTCTAGTGGCAACTCTCAAAAGTTGTGTTTTGTTTCCTAGGGAGATGGAGATTATGAGCTTGTCAAGGATGTAGAGATTGATGACTACCTACGCCAACGAATTGCCAAGGTATTGCCTTCTTAGAGATTAGTGTTCTGTGGGGTTTTCTGACTAGTTGCCAGAAGTTAAACTGAGACATGAAAACAATGCAGTCGGAAGCGGAACTCTTGGCTGAGAAGAAATGTGTTGCACACCTCACTGGAGAGGTATGTATCTGTCTTGTCTATTCAAATAAAACCAGTTGTGATAGAAGCTAACCTTAGTTACTTCATGGATATATGTTTCAGGGTATCGCCTACTGTGATCTTGGTCCGGTAGATACTATGCTTCCTGGTGAAGTTTGATTTTGGTGATCATATCAAGTAAGCATTCTCTTCTGGGTTGTTAGCTGTACATAGCACACCCCATAATACTCATGTTGATTGGTCGGAATAAGTGAATGTAACTTCACATTTTACTCATTATTTATATATGTATGTGAGTTTACTTGAGCAATGGACCGAACTCATGTCATACTATAGTGTCTGTAAACACTTGATTGTCCACTGCTTATTTGAGTCTCATAGCTTTTTTCTTTCTTCTTTTCACCAAACCAAAAAGTGCTATATATGTGGAAGAGTAACACAAACAAAGTTACAAAGAATTTATAAATGCTATACATCAAAATCAAGAAGCGACAATGGAGGATGGTCTTATTGGTTGATCCCCTGGAAATGCATCACGTAGTCTCTTGCACTCATCTTTGCAATAGTCCAGAGAGAAACAGAGTTGTCTTATCACTTCCCTTTTCTCTTCTGATACTTCCTCTAGCTCCCTCCTCTGCTTCTCCATCTCCTCTTCCATCTCTATTGTCTTTCTGTCTTTTGCTTTCATTTCATCTCCAAGCTGACTCATCTCTGATTCTAGCTCACTCACTTTTTTGGTTACCGTCTCTATGCATCTCTCTTTCTCTGCCTTCTCCATTGTCAGCACCTCTATTTCTCCCTTCAGCCTTTCCTCCTCTTCCATTTTCTCATTGTTAACTCTTCTTATCTTCTCTTCAAGATAACGCACATGAGCTTCCAGCTCCTTGAACTGCTCATCACGGTGTGTTTTCTCCTCTAAGAGCTTTGATATATCGGCTATAACCTGTGCCTTCTCCATTGTCAGCACCTCGATTTCTGTCTTCATCCTTTCCTCCTCTTCCATTTTCTCATTGCTCACTCTTCTTATCTCTTCTTCAAGATGACGCACATGAGCCTCCAGCTCCCTGAACTGCTCATCACGATGTGTTTTCTCCTCCAAGAGCATTGATATCTCGGCTATGACCTGTGCCTTCTCGGGGAAGATCTTCTCTTCTGCGTCAGACAAAGCTATCTTCAGATCCCTGATCTCATGATCTCTACCAGCTAAACTAGATTTCAACATGGAGACTCTATCAAGCACCTTAACCACCTCTCTTCTATCTGCGCTAGACTTGCTTTTCCATGCTGCAGTTTCTTTCTGCGCCGAGTCAAGCAGGCTTTGGAGGCTCTTGAGCTTCTCAACTTCTTTTCTCATGTTACCGTTTTCTCTTTCTGCCTCCCTAAGCCTCAGGCCTGTAACTCTCAGCTCTTCAGAGAGAGACTGAATGTCCATGTCTTGTGTGGAAGCTGCTGCTGCTTCTGTCTCTTCATCATCCAACTCTGATGGCAAGTATCTAGCGAGCTGACTCTTTAACATAAAGATTTGGTCTTCTGAGTTCTGTAACTTCTCGTTTGCATCTCTCAGTTCTTGCTCACAAGCATCTCTCATTCTGAGTCTCTCTTTGGCTTCACGGAGCTCAGCCTCAAGATCAGCAACCCTCTTGCTCAAAGACTGAAAGTCAGAGCCAACACTCACATAACAAGGGTTATTAATCACAGAAGAATCATCAGACTCCAGCTCAGAGTCTGTAACAGAAGCAGAATCATCTCCGTCTTTGTTGTAAATATCAGAGGGAAGTCCTACACCAGAGCCAAGGAAGTAGTCAAAACCGGGAGCACGGCGGGAAGGAGGACGGCTTAATCTGTTAAGCTCAGTGGTGAGATCAGAGGAGGAGATGTCAGAGAAGCCTGAGCTTTGTGACTGAAGCTCTGGAGGAGAGGTTTTTCTCAAATCTCCGGTTATGTTCTCGTAACGCTCGGCTAGAGAACGGTACATACGGTGAAACTCATCGACAAGGGTGATAAGTTCAGGTCTCTTTTGGTAATACATCTCTGCCTTCTTGGCAAATGAGTCTGCATCTTCTTCTATCAACTTCACCATCAGTTTCACCCTCTTGTTCATCTCTGATCAAAACCCACACAATAAACATTCATGATGAAAAGACTATCCACCCAAGTTAACAACCCTAATAAGCTAACAGGACAATGACACAATGAGATGGACTAACTACTCACCATCGAGGTTATTCTCGAGCCATTTGGAGTTTTTGGTGGATTCTGCTCGCTTGATACTCTTCTTGGAACGAACCTAGCAAAACCACAGAATCAAGAATGAGAATAGATTCTTTGTTAATTGGTATATAAAAAAAAAGACAAACGCTTCTTTCTTTTTGTTTTTGTATGTTACCAGATCATAATCCATGGCTGGAAAAATCAATGTACCCTATAAGAAAGCTGGAAACACACAAGAGAGACAATCATGGGCCAATGGTAAAAGACAAATAATAGAGATTTGGTGTGTCAGATTTTGTCAGAAACATGACAATTCGAAATACTTATACACAGAAAAAGACAAGAAAAGAGAACCTGACAAGAAGAAGAAGATGTAAAAGGGTTGCAAAGGAGAAAGCAGAGGAAGATGCAAAGTTTTTTTAGATTGTTGTTGAAATCAGAGAAAAAGATTTTATACACTTACGGTTACCTTTAAGACAGCAGATATTGCGGAACTAGTACTTAGCAATACCAACGTGGCCAAGTGTTTGGCTTTGTCTCTCTGTAATCTTTTTATGCATTAAATAATGTAAAACTGATTCCATAGTGACCATGTGGAGATAGAAGAGGTTTTATAATAGGGATTAGAGACCTCTCTCCCACTAATCAAACCGACTATTCATACAATTAATGGTCAGCCAAGACTATTTCTTCTTTGTTTTATTCATGTTTTCATTAACACATTCTTGAAGGTCATCACGCAGTCAAGATATCATTTTTTTCAGGCATTGAATATTTTTAAAATTTAATTGCCTTTTCTAATTCTTTTTGGTCTAAAAATCAGGTCATTTTCCTTTTAAAATGTAAATTGAATGGGGAGACTACTTGTTCAGGGTTTAGGGAAGTAAACGCGTCATCTGTGTGTCTGAAAAGGCCAACACAGTTTTTGTTTTGTGGCTCTCCACTTCATAGCTTTTCATCTTCTCACTACAGATTGTATGCATTAAGAAATTAAGATTTTATAATTAAATCATCTATTTTTCTGATAATGTGCCAGCACCTGATTCAAAGTTCAACTTGTTGACAGGCAGTACCACTCATTACCCTATACGATCATTTTCCAAGAAATCTATCTACTTGCATGTAAAATCTACTATACCTGCCAGATTTATATATCCACTAGGACCACAAGAACACATCAAGAATTCAAGATGAGACTGGTAAGTGTCGCGTATAATATATGGTAAAGAAGAACGTGATAACCGTTGTGAGCTTGGCCAAAGCTGCATTTCGCAATCACTCTTGTAAAAAAGACAAATTGAAATGATGACAAACACATTATAAGACATCTTCATTCATTCATCCATTCATGTATATCAGGATTACACACTAGTGACTAGCCACCACACTTCCACGTCCATGGAGACAGAGAAAGGATCCTACAATAATCGCTATGTAAATGTCACACACACCTCCAACTTAGTCTTACTACTTAGGCGAGTGATCTCCAAGAAATCAAACAGAAAAGACTTACAAACTCAAACACACATAAGAAAAAAGGAAGAGTAATCAAGGAGTGGTTTGAACATTAGAGTCCTTAGGTTTGCTATTGTCATCAGAAGATGGACGGGTCTCAGAAGAGTCTGCAACTCGTATCTCTTCAATCATCCTAACCACCTCATCCATGCTGGGCCTCACCTCAGGCACATGAGCCACACAGGCCATAGCAATCTGCAACATCTGCACCATCTCTTCTTCAATGTTATGGTACTTCATAAGGTCAACATCAAACACCTCGCTTGTCCATTCCTCTCTCACCACTGACTGCACCCACCTAGGAAGATCAACCATGTCCTCCCTACTTGGCGACTGCACTGGAGACTTCCCAGTCAACATCTCGAGTATAAGTACACCGAAACTGTAAACATCTGATTTGTGTGTGTGTTTCCTTGTTTCTATTACTTCTGGTGCACGATAGCCTGCACCCCTCATCGGAGCAATGGGCACAGCCATCAGAGGAGATAACCCAAAGTCAGAAATGGACACATCACTGTCTTGCTTCATGATCACGTTTGATGACTTTATGTTTCCATGAGTGAACTTTGGACCTCCAACTTCATGTAGGTGAGCTACACCTTTTGCTGCTGCAAGGGTGATTTTCACTCTGGAGTCCCAGTCAAGAGGCGTTCTCTCACTACCTGTTATAACATCAAAACCAAGCTATTTTATAAGCAACCAAACGATGCAAATCTAAACCATTAAGCGAAGATGGGAAGAAGACTAACCATGGAGGAGTGTTGATAAGTTACGAGCAGGGTAATAATCATAAACCAAGAGCTTCTCATCCTTGGAGTAATAGTATGCACGAAGGGGAACAACGCTAGGGTGTTGTCCTACCTGACCTATAATCTCCATCTGCTGTTCAAACTCCTTCTTTCCAGCTGCCACTTCCTTCAACCTTTTCACCACAACAGTAGTGGATTCCTCCAAGACAGCCTTGTATGTTGTCCCATAACTACCTTTTCCTAGTACTTCCGCTGATGCCCTCAACAAATCTTCTAGATCAAAGTTATAAGAGCATCCTTCAAAGAACACCAGCTTGTTCTTCTCAGGTTCTTGTACACCACTTCCAAAATCTTGCTTTGCTTTCTCAGTCAAAGTCTTTGCTTTGACAACACTGTCTTCCCTCTTGTCCTTTTTCTTGACACAGCAACATAAGATAACTGCGGTGATAAACAGCAGCAGGGCAGCCCCACAAGCTGCAATGATAATGATAGTGCTTACATGTAACTTCTTTTTTGGACTTTCTTTGTGAGGAAACGGCGGCAATGGAGGTGAGGAGATGGGAGGGGTGAGAGGGGAAGGTCGAGCACATGGCTGCAGAGGAAGTCCACATAACAATGCGTTTCCGGCAAAAGATGATCTTGGAAACCCACCAAGTGCAGAGGGTATTGAACCATTAAGATCATTGTTGCTCAAGTTTAAACGTCTCAGTCTTGAGGTATCAAGATCAGGTATTGGTCCAGAAAGTTTGTTATTCTGGAGGCTCAACGCTGTCAGCTTCTTCTGGTTTTGTAAAGTTGCTGGTATCTTCCCGGTGAAAGAGTTAGATGAAAGGTCCAGGATATCAAGGTGTTGAGACAAAAAGGAAGGAACCTCACCAGAGAGATTATTATGTTGGAGATAGAGGTAACTCAGTGAAGGGAGAGATGGAATATCAGGAGGAAGGTTACCACCTAGGAGGTTTTCTCTCAAACTAAGAATCTTGAGTGACTCTAGTTTACCAAGTGTGTCTGGAGGGATTGTTCCCACGAGACCTATACCAGGAAGACGGAGAGCGAGAACTCGAGTTCCATCAGAAGTGCAAGTGACACCAACCCATGATTTGCAGATATGGTTAGTGGAGTTCCAGTTGAGCTTTCTAAGATGAGGAACAGAAGCAGCAAAGTCAAGAAGAGCTTGCCTATCTGAGTTCAGGTCAGCAATAGCAGAAAAGGTGAAAGTAGTTGTGATAAACAAGAAAGAGACAAAGCAAGCAGACAAGAAGCCTTTTGATGTTTTCAAGGTAAAGCCTTGACCAACATCAAACTGGAAATGGAGCTGCATCACTTCCTGTCCCTCCTGCTTCAAGAGAAAAAATATATAAAATGATGAGCAGTGATTTTCACCACACAAAGCCAATATTGCAAACACTTACTTATGGAAAAGAGGTTTCCTTAGATAAGATCACAACACTAAAAGTTGATAACTAACATATGGCTCTGAAAGAATTAAGCAGGAAATCTTTTTATCTTTATCTTTATCATTGGGAGAATAAACAATCAAAGGAGGTTAAGATAAGAGACTGAAGCATCCAACTCAAATAAAGAAGAAAAAAGCAAAAGGAATAAAGCTAAAGAACCAAACTTTAAGACAAAAGAAATTGATGTGCAGAGAAAAGCAAGTCCTTTTTGCCAAAGATATAGAGAAAGAAGCAGAGGTCTCTCCATCATGTGGACAATGTCGCTTAGTAAATAAAGATGAGTTTGAGTGTCTTAATTTTAGCAGAGTTGTTGAACAAACAACGTATAACAAAGCTAAGTAAACTAGATTTCAAGTCTTGGAACTTTCCTAACCACCCAGCCGGATAAAATGGCCATCTTAAGTACAAATCCACAGCTAACCAAATCACAGAAACTTACTAAGGAAAGAGAGAGGAAAAAAACCTGAGAGTAGAGAGGCAAGCTAATGAAGTAAGAAACTGGTGGGCATAAAGGAACTCATGAAACTGGAAGAGGAGGGAGAAATGATGCCTATCTTGAATGGAGTATAACTCAAATCTTGAAATGGTGAAAGAAAAGAAAGAAGAAAAAGGCAATGTGTGTGGGGACTAGTGGGAGAGACGGAGAGAAGAAGCAGAAAAGGAAAACGAAAGAGATGGAGATAAAGTAAGTGGTGAAGTTAAACAAAAGAGGCGTACTTGTTAAGTGTAAGACAGTGTGAGTCGTTAGATTAAATCATGCTAATGTGTTAAGACCGCAACGAACGCTAGAGTAGAGAGATTCTTAAGAGATAGCTAAGTGACAAATAGCGTTGGCCAGATGCAATTTTTGTCACCAAAGTTAAAGCCTAACATTTTTTATTGAGAGATTTAGTGAAATACCCTTATTTGAAGTCAATATTAGAGTTTTGCCCATAATTTGACATTATAAGTCAAAAACATACAATTAAAGCTTGGTTTGCCCAAAATAACCTGTAGAGTTTCTCTTTCCCTTCTCACTGATTTTTTTTTCCTGACACTCTCTCTCACTCATTTTCTTCATTTCTTCTCAACGATAACACATTCTTTTTTATTTCCACTTTTTTTTTAAATTCACTCAGTTTGATAGAGAAATTGAAACTTCAACAATATAATTTTTTTTACTTATGATACATAACAATGTATTGACATCTACAATTATTAATATTTAACACATCTGTTTAAACCTATAGTACATTTTTTTTAACAGCTAACACAAATGTTAACAGCTACAAAAATTGTTAACAGTTACTGTTTTCTGTTAACACATCTGTTAACATTTACAAAATTTGTTAACAGTTAATGTCTCTGTTAAAACATCCGATACATGTATTTGTTAACAGTTAACACTGTTGTTGACATCTACGTTACTTGTTAACAGCTAACATAAGTGTTAACGTCTCGGCGATTTTTAAAAAAACTTCAATGCTGATTTTTTCAGAATGTGGTGAAACTAAAATAATTTAGATTCATAAGAATAGTAGTAAAATAGTAATAAATTTTATGCAATAATAAATTTTTACAAAAAAAAGAAGAAGATACTAACATGATAAAAGAGAGAATGAAAAAGAAAAAAAATGGAAGAAAAAAGAAAGAGAGGTTGTGGGGAAAGAGAGTGTGGAGAGAGAGAGTGTCAGGAGAGAGAGAGTGTCAGGAGAGAGAATCACATACATGTGGAAGGGCAATTTCGTCATGAAAAATAGATCAGTTCCATCATGGGCAATCACCTAATTTTGGGTCCAAAAAGGATATACTAACAAATAATCTCTTTTTTATTTGTATTTGAAATCATTTGAGTATGGTAATAATAGTCCTAACCTGTCCAACCACTCCTGTTACTATTTTCTCTCGATTTGCATCATTCTTGATTGCGGATACTATGTAAAAGTGAAACTAGTCATCTCATCATCTACCAAATCCCAAAACAAGATCCAACTGCTTTATACATTTTTGTCTGTTTAATCAGAAACAAGACATTATTACTTATCTAGTTGTTTCACCCTGTACTATTATTACCTTGTGCTTCCTCTTCTACTGTCATCTACTGATAAATGGAACTGTAAATGGCTNGCGGATACTATGTAAAAGTGAAACTAGTCATCTCATCATCTACCAAATCCCAAAACAAGATCCAACTGCTTTATACATTTTTGTCTGTTTAATCAGAAACAAGACATTATTACTTATCTAGTTGTTTCACCCTGTACTATTATTACCTTGTGCTTCCTCTTCTACTGTCATCTACTGATAAATGGAACTGTAAATGGCTGAGAGACTAAACACAAACTCAAGTTAACATGTAGTTCATTTATCAAACTGCCACTGTTTTCTTATAAATTGAACTGTAAAGACGAGAGGCTAGAAAGAAACACACAAACATAAGTGAACTTTAGCTTCATAAACTAGAGATGAAACTTAGTTCATACATTAAACTGCAGATCCATGCAGATATTAAAAAAAAAAAAAAGCACTGGAGTTTTAACAACACGCATAACTGCTTCCCATCTCTGCTTTCTCCTCACTTGTAGAACTCAAAGTCCGTGTCTGGCTTCTTCACATTTGAGCGGTAACCCTTCTCGAAATCCTTAGGCAGTATCACATATCTGTTCTTACGCACCGCATGCATTCCAGCTTCCTGGCAGATTGCTGCTATCTGTATTGTTCAACATAATATTGGATTAGTGAGTTATTTAATATCTATCATTTGGCTGTACAATAATAATCTTTTATGCAATCTTTCTAGGGTACATTATTAAGTAAATCAATCCATCTTACTGTCAAGGTAGGATGCTCAAAAATTCAATTCAGGACAATGAAGTACAAAGACCGCGCAACTCAACTAACATCCACACAATATTATGCTAAAACAGCCATTAATAAGTGTGATCTAGAAACTATTGAGGCTGCGTATATCGTCGGAAAAGTAACTCTAATAGGAAGCACAGAATAGTAAGCAAAAAAAAAAAAAACTAACCTCAGCAGCGCTTATTTTATCAGGACGTGAAACATAGTCTTCCAAGTCAACCTCATCGCTGAGATTCATTTTAGCAGTGCATACCTACACAAGGAAAACGAAGTCAATAAAACAGAAACTGTAACAAACCTAAATGTGGTGTATTCAAAGAACGAAACAAAATTTCTAAGAAACATTTGGCTTCACATCTCCTTTACTAGTTGATTCAACGTTCAAGTACTCTTAGTAGTTAACTAACCTGGAAAACAAGCCTCTTTTGACGTCTATCAGGAAGGGGGAACTCAATCTTACGATCAAGTCTACCAGGACGTAAGAGAGCAGGATCAAGAGTGTCTGCTCTGTTGGTTGCCATTATGACCTTGACATTCACGGTCTGGTCAAACCCATCCATCTACATCGAATTCAACAATACAAGTTAGAACACAGCTCAATCCAAAACAAATGCATCAGGCCATTTATAAACCACAAGACATTTTTTCTTGAAGTCCATTAATCTACAGCATAAGATCTGAATCACACCCTAAGAGAATACCAAAAATATACAGATACACTCATTTGTTTACTGTTCTCACCTGATTAAGTAGTTCCATAAGAATACGCTGAACTTCCCTATCAGCTCCTGTTTGAGCATCGAACCTAGCAGTAGCGATGGCATCTACCTCATCAATAAATATGATAGCTGGAGCATTTTCCTTGGCAAGACGGAAGACATCACGAACCATACGAGGTCCCTGCAATCAAAGGGCAAGCAAATTAGGTATCAAGTAGGATCCAATANAAGTAGTTCCATAAGAATACGCTGAACTTCCCTATCAGCTCCTGTTTGAGCATCGAACCTAGCAGTAGCGATGGCATCTACCTCATCAATAAATATGATAGCTGGAGCATTTTCCTTGGCAAGACGGAAGACATCACGAACCATACGAGGTCCCTGCAATCAAAGGGCAAGCAAATTAGGTATCAAGTAGGATCCAATATACTTGTAGAATAATATAGATTGTTTATAATCGAATATTATGTTAATATATCTAAATGTTTCCTACCATACATATATATATATATATATATATTTCAAATATTTCTAAAATATATTTTTTTGGGAAAATTGTCAAATATGACTCAAAACTTGATTTGAAATGCAAAAGTAAACCTAAACTTGAATCAAATGCAAAAGTAACTTAAAAGGCTGTTGAAATTACAACCAACCCCTTGTGAACAAACAAAAAAAAGAGTTTTTTTTTTACGTTTCTATCTCTCGCAAGTCGTATGCCCAGACGAGACGACTTAGTTTGAAGTCGTATGAGACAGTTTTTCTTAAAAATAATTTAAAAATTGTGTAATAAATATTTTGATAAATGAAAAATTGGAATTAAGTAATTAACATATGTCTTAATAGATATAAATTAATATATAACAAAAGTCAGTTGTTTTCAGCATAGATGAGTGAAAGTAGTGAGTCATGATATTCTTTAGTTTAGGTTTCACCAACATATGTTGTAGTATTGTATGTGTTTCTTAGGGTTAGATTTTCGAAAGCATAAATGTTTTTTGGAAAAATTAAAAACCTACCTAAGTGTGTTTATTTCTGTGTATAGTAAACAATATTTAAGTATAATTTGATTTTATAACGTGGTTAGTTAGTTAATTTAGTCAATTTAGTTTAGGGTTTAGGGTTTAGGGTCTGGACGACTTATATTTAAGTCGTCTGGTAAATATATTTAATAAGGCAGACGACTTAGTCGTTTTATAGTATCAACAGACGACTTAATTATAAGTCGTCCAAACCGGATTTTACCGAATTACTTTTAAACCGAACCGGTTTTTTTACCGAACATATATAACAAGAATTTTTTTTTTTACTCATTTTTTTCGCGAAATTCAGAAAACCCTAACGCCGTTTCTCTCAAGGCGATTTCGATCCGATACAAGACCAAGGTAAATCGAAGGCTTCTCTTGTGGATTTATGGGTTTTTATTAGGATGGATGTTGTTTTACTTTACTTTTACCGTTTGGTTTTGTGTTTTCAACGATTTC